ACTGAAATTTTAAAGCAGCAATAGTTGAACATCTCATAAACTTTCATTCCCGTTTTTTCAAAGTTTATTAATCTTTTTTTTAAATAAAAAAATGAAAAAGCAGACAGACCTTGTGCACATTTTCAATACATTACTTACAGAAACTTCAATTGAAAAAATTTAATAGAAAACCCTGTACATCTTTTCCCAAAAATATAGGCTTCAAAATGCTGGGTGCTCATTATACTTCACAAAAGCATCTTTCAAAAATATATAAATTTCATCAAGCTGTCATTTTATTTTTTAAATTCTAAGAAATCAATAAAATAATAAATACTTAAGATATTGATCAAATATTGCAGATATAAAATAAAACGGAAGCAAAGTAAGTAGGATTGATCCATCCTTACATTCTATTAAAAATTTAAAAATATAGCTGCTGAAATTCATGAAAAAGTAAAAACATTTTCACTGGAAATTGGGGTGCAAGTCTTTCTGGTCATAATTTTTTACCCAAATTCACGGCTCAAAAATCAAGGAGCATATTTTATGAGCAGGGGTTCCTTGCACAGTATATGCTTGCATAACTTTGAGTATGCACAGCAGATAGACCGAAATGAATAGGAATTCTTAAATGAAATGCACCTGTGCAACAGTACTGTACCGTCTTTTCAAACACAATATTGAGCACTATATACATGTTCGGAACTATAGCATTACACTTCAAAAAATAAAATGGAATTACTCAGTGAAGCAGTTTTCAGATTTTAAATTACCTTTTTAGTGTGAATGGTGATTTCCATTTTTTACAAGATCTATATTTGTAAATGTGCAACCTTTGTATTGGAAATTCCAATACGTTTGTCAGTACAGTAACTTATTTTGATGATTGTAATGGGTACTTGTATCATTTGTATGTACTGTACAGTGGTGTACCTTCTACTATACAAACTTAATTCATCCCAGAGCTAAGTTTGTAGTAGAATTTTATCATACTACAAATCATGATTTCACATAGGCTTCTACAGGGAATCATTTAATTTTTTCCAAAATTTGTGAAAAATTCAAAATAATTTCCAAAAAATAATTGTATTTCTAACAAACCAATTTTTGTTAAAGCCTTGAACATAACTCTCTTACACTGAATAAATAAAACAATGATACAAACTGTTTTAAATTTTCTTAAGGATGGATACTGTTTTTGGAAATGGGTTTTCAACTCACTTTTGTTTTGATGTGTGAATTGAAAGTTGAAATGTATTAAAACATTGCTTCCAAGGGGGTTTTGAAACAAAACAAACACTTGTAAAATTAGGTATTATCTTAATTTAAATTTCTAGTGAGGGTATAGATTGCACTTTTTGAGAATTTCTTTCAAGATGGTTATGCCCACAGCAAAGATTCTTTGACATTAGATTTTTCTTTGAGCAAATCCCCTGGAATTCAAATTTAAATTCAGAGGATTAAAGCACAAATACACAGGTTTGTGTGAGGGGTTTGTACTACCAGGTACCACTGCATACTTTTGCACTAATTGCACTCAAGTTTAGCCTGCAAATCTAAACTGCAGGAGAAGAAAAAATTGAAAAGATTCTTCCTGAGCCAGAATACCCCGAAAAACCGCGATTTATTTACGGGCAACGAATTTCGTACATTCCATACGATTTTCGAGTAGAAAATGAAGCACAAAATGAACCTTTTAACCTTCCTTCGGAGGTTGAAGGCGCGGCTCAATACGTCCAACTGTTTTTAACTCGGCCTGATGGAGGTTTGAAAACTTCATCAGACTGAATGAAGGCCAAGAACTTTCCAATATAAACAAGAAGACATTCCCGCGTTGTTGACTTGAGGAAAGAGACGTACAAAAGGGCTAGTAGGAATATTCCAGCGTTCAAGGAAAAAAAAAAGGTCATTGAAAGGAGCAAAAATAAATAAAAATAAAAATAAAGGAAAACGCCGCAGAAGAAAAGAACTGATGAAGGAGATGATGTTGACGTCTCACGCGCAGAAAGGATCATTCCGAAAGTTCTTCACAATGATAACTATACGTATTGTCGATTATTCGATGTTCCCTTACTGAGATGCCCCAAAATTTGGACGGCCTGACATGTCGACAATAGAACTTATTGAATACTTTTTATTGAGAGAAAAAAAAGCTGCCCAACAAATGGAGAAAAATGTCTATAAAAACGTTCTAAAATTACCAGGAAAGCCTGAAAGGTATTTGTTTCGAAACTTTGATACCCCTTGAACTAATTAAACTATTGTCATGGTCATTTCAAATTATTTTTCTTTCAAATACGCTCTAAATACAGGCTGATGACTGCAATTCTCCTTTCAGAAATTTACTGTCCACCTTGTCCTTCTGCAGATTACATCGAGGGTACAAAACCAAAAGCTCCTCGACCCCGGTTTCTTAAAAAAACCTTAAAAAAAGAAAACAGTCCTTCCAACTCTTAACACCCACGATTCTTTCAAAATTTAGAAGGAAAAAGGAGGTACGCGTAGTACCAATGGGTGCCACCTCATGCATTTCAAAAGTTTCGGTAGTTTAGGAGTGGTCCGAGTGGATAATTTTATTTTTTTAATTTTACTAACTTTAATAGAAAAACTTACTGTGATTGAAGTGATCAAAACTTTGTTGAACTGAGTATCAAAACATGTCTCAATTCCAAATTTGGATGCGATTATTTTTGAAAACTTGCAGTTTTAGAGTCTGAAAATGTTGTATGCATCTCTTACTTGGGAATAGAATTTTATTTTTAAAATAATAATTCACTGAAAACCCTTGTTGAGCGTTTAAATCGAGGCTGCGTGGTATTCGAGGTACAGTGCTTGAATTTTTGGAAAGCCCACGGAGGACAGCAACAAATGCACCTGTTCCCATCAAGCGAGACGGAATGACGTTGAGGTCACGGGAATGGGCGGAAAGGACGAGCAAAATTATGCACACTGTACACCGCTGCCTGCTGCTGATGTCGACGTCGACTCAACATCAGCACCTCTTCTACTGAAACTATAGCGCAGTATTTAGATGACTAATAAAATCTTTTTTTTCTTTCCTATTCACCTCATCAAGCCACATGAGAAAACTAGGATAACATGAACGTGATGGGGTGATTCGGAAAATATGCAAATAAAAGCGCGGAAATAAAAACTTACTGTGATGGAAGTGATCAAAAGTTTGTTGAACTGAGTATCAAAACATGTCTCAATTCCAAATTTGGATGCGATTATTTTTGAAAACTTGCAGTTTTAGAGTCTGAAAATGTTGTATGCGTCTCTTACTTGGGAATAGAATTTTATTTTAAAAATAATAATTCACTGAAAACCCTTGTTGAGCGTTTAAATCGAGGCTGCGTGGTATTCGAGGTGCAGTGCTTGAATTTTTGGAAAGCCCACGGAGGACAGCAACAAATGCACCTGTTCCCATCAAGCGAGACGGAATGACGTTGAGGTCACGGGAATGGGCGGAAAGGACGAGCAAAATTATGCACACTATACACTGCTGCCTGCTGCTGATGTCGACGTCGACTCAACATCAGCACCTCTTCTACTGAAACTATAGTACAGTATTTAGATGACTAATAAAATCTTTTTTTTCTTTCCTATTCACCTCATCAAGCCACATGAGAAAACTAGGATAACATGAACGTGATGGGGTGATTCGGAAAATATGCAAATAAAAGCGCGGAAAGAGGAATTGCGCGTTACGATTTCTTGGAAACGAGCTGAATCATCGTGAGCCGTGACTGCCACTGCATATGATGCCAGTACAGTATTACTGGGTTTATTGTAGTCTCAAACTCTGAGACGGAAAAACAATTCAATATCTTAGTGGATGTACTGCAAATATCGTACAATATTTTATTAATTTCACTCCATTGATCTTTGCGTTGATTCATGCGCGACACCAGAATTCGGAGGAATGGCGCCGGTTTTTTTTTTTTTCAATAAATGTTCCTCTTGTTTTGAATTTGGGATCTTCTAGAAGCTCGCCTGGTCCACCCACCCGAAACTCGCTGAACCCGTGATTTCCTCCGGACTGACGCGAACGGCAAGGTTGAGGCGACACCTGGTAACAGAGAACGAAGTGATGCATCGACACGAGGCATTCGATTCATAAGATGAAACCAAGTTTTAGCCTCCGACGAGATTTGCCATATGTACAATACCTGAGGTCATCGGATAAATACAAGCAAGACGCAACTTGGAGAGGATAAAAAAAAAAAAAAGAGTTTGAACCATATTGCCTGATTATTTTCATCAGCTTCACCAGGTAATTTTTTGCAAGCTTCTGAGCATCCAAGTCTTTCATGAATGCCCTCAAAGCTGTCTTAAAATTTTCAAAGGCAATACTTGATTGGACATTGAGATTCTTCTATGTTGAAAAAATATTCGACTGCGGCTTATGATGATAGCTCTAACGTTTGATAGACGCGCTGATGAAATACAAGTCTGTTCAGTTTCGTGGATTATTTATGTAAAATTACACTCTCGCATTCAATTTTCTTGAATAGTGGGCAATATCTTTGAATCAGCACTGCTTACAAGAATTTAACTCACGCATAAGTTGCGAATAAATGATGACTTTCTGCAGCAATTACGCGAATATGCGACGACCAACGAGATACTGAATGCGACATCTAGGGATTATATTTTAGGTGAAAGTGCGAAAACAACGCTTTGTTTCCATGGTGTCTATTTAAAACCTACGATGTGAACTTTTTTCGGGAAATCCTAATACTGTACTCAATGGCCAGCAGTTTCATGGTTTGCAGCCAGAATACTGTAAATTGGAAAATTTTAATCATTGCTTCTGTATGCTTTCCATATGTGCATCCTTATGACCATCATATGGACTCTACGGCATTCAAACAAAAAAATCAATTGGACGACGACAGAGAAATCGCGCGGTTTCGTGGAAGTTTAGTCAGACTTCCAAATGCTGATTAAGCTAGCTGTTGTGGCGAACCTAATCGCGAAACAAAGTCAAGATTTTTTCACTTCCTTTCTACAGAAAGGAAAATAAAATCGAAGCCTCGCCTGCTTATACGTGCCCAGTGCACCAGTAGTGAGAGAAACTGGTGATAAAGTTACCGAGACTAGTCAGACTACAGCAGTATCATAGTTCCGTGTGCTGGCTCTATATACTGTACAGCGCTCTAATTTCAAGTGACCCGTCCTGATTTTCCAGCGTAAGTTCAATATAAGCGATCGTTTTGAAATGTGTAGTGAATTTTTCTGTGAATCATTCCCACGTTAAACTATTCAACAGCACCTATTTCCGTCAACAGCAGATGAATAGCCGGTAACCTTGAATTGCGTGGAGTTCTTAATATCATGAAGAAGAGAAGAAAAAAATACTTACCGCGCGGTGAAAATGTTCAGAACCGCTTCGCGGTTGTAAAACTTGACGAAATTAAAATTGTACACTTCTGAAACTTCGCGTGAAGTGTATTGATCTAAAATTTTCTCAACTTTCATACGTATAGAGTGGGATCTGAAGTTCTCAACCAACGATGGGTAATTTCTTCGGCCTTGGTCGAGACAAACCGCTGCCGTCCCAATATGGAGAGCATCAAACACCAGTGACACACGACGTTGTTCTCGCTGGATGGATCACTGCGTTTATCATCATCTACGCTTCTTTTCTTGTCATTCTACCGGGATATTCAGGACGTAAGGTGAAATATAAAGATAATCAGGACCTTATTAATAATTCCGGCTTGCTGTGCGTTAAACTGCAGTGTTCCCCAACCTTTTTTGCTCGCGGACCGGAAAATTTCAACAAAATATTTTGCGGCCCGGCAAATTGTCATAAAACTTTCTGCATACCAGCAGAGTTCCATACAAGTTTTCAAGGCCAGGAAAATGTTTTTAATACCTGCCATAAAGTCCTCAAAACAAAACTTGTATTGCAAAAATTAATTGAAGAACCGAGGCGCAGCTATATATTTGAATGCCTTGAAAAAAATATAAAGCTGAGCTCCAAAAAAAAGCTTCTCAGATTTAAAACTTAAAATAATATATTTCAGACAAGTGAAGACGTGTATGAAGCGTAAAGTGTAATGAAAAGAAAAGCTAATTTTCATTATACTCAGATAATTTCAACTGCCAGCATTTTCCCCGAAATTTTGGATAATTAAGTATAACTGGGTTCATTATAAATCTATCATGCAAAATACATTTTATTGAAGGACTGGCAAAAAACGGGTTGGGGAACACTTCGTTAAAGCATACCGGAAGATTCACACAACAAACATTTTGCGCACAGAAATTGATTTCGAGCACAAAAAAGGGGACTCACATGAAATTCATCTCACGTCACACAATGTTTTGGCCAAAATGCGTGGATTTCAGGAATTCTGAGTAACTTTTGAAAATTTTTGCCAGGCGTAGCACTTGAGAAAATTGAACAATCATTTCCTCTTCTATAGATGCAAATAATTATGCATTTCCGAGAATCGGCAGCTCAAATCCTGGAATGTTTGAGAAATAAATTCAAATACCCTGTACATATACTGTATTGATTTTCCATGTCTTCTGAGGATGTTTGTGGAGTTTTGAAGGAATTTTAATTTTTATTAAAAATTATACTTCGCAGGAATTCGTGTGTCACATAAAAAAATTTGCTTATGAATAATCCTGGTATTCATTTATAGTATTTCAATATTGCCCTTTTTAGCAGCTTTGCATGTTTCGAAACATTAATATTAATTTTTATTTTATTTTATGGGACGAGGAAATGTCTACCTGAATTTAAAAATGTTTGAGCTTGACAAAAATGTAGCATTTGTGAGAGTGGCTATTATGTGTGAGAAAAGGAAATTCGAGGATAAAATAAATGCTCAAAAGATGTGTCTCACAAGGTTCTCCAGATACTCGATCAACATACGCATATATACAAAAATGTTGTCTTTGTGGTTTATTCTTTTGAGAAATTAATTCTGCAATACGGACGTATAGGTAAAAGAATTCATGTTCTTCATATTTGAAAATCCTGGAGGTTGAAATGAGAATCGAGTATAATACAGTTTACTGTATACTATACGGTCTTATAGTTTAAAGAAGGTGTTCACGTTACTAAATATACATTTTTCTGCCTGTATGGTGAACTTCAAAATAGCAAATGAAACTGTTTCTCATGGCAAAAGAGAAAATGAAAATGATACATTTTTGTATTCAAGGGATTGAACGTCGCCATGAGGATTACTTTTGATCTTTACGTGGGTCTCTCCATTATTCGTGAGTAACTCGGATGAAAATACTTTTAGAGTTGCAAGAACTTACAAATTTGTATCTCATGTTAATCATGAAGTTGGACTTTTCGGGCAAGAATGGGAGGTTGGACGCATAACGAATGTTCCAACGCCTTACAAACCCGGGACTGGGAAAGAAATCCACGCTGACATTGGACTTCACATTGGCGTCAGAGGAATTAACATAACGCTTAAAGAAAACATCGAAAACCCTCATCAGGAAGGTATATAAATATCATTCAAACATTGATTCCCATTTTTATTCCCTGAAAAAGACTCGAGTTTTCCTTGAAAAATGATCATTTTGTTTTATTTCATCAGCACCAGAAACGGAAAAATCAGCGATCGTGGAGCATGAAACGATCAACTACAATGAACAATTCTTGTGGAAATGGAGACAAGGAAGATTTGGCTTTGGTCCACGAGGTTCGACTTTCTATATTGCTTTTTATCAATTACAGTATAAAAATATGGGTAAGTTGAGAGCACTTCCAGACTTGAAATAAATCCAAGTGAGGCAATTCGTCCGCGAATCCTTATTTCGCTGATAATATTTAAAAACGATGTACACGCAGAATTTTGCGACAGCTGATAATCCTTGGAAGATATTCAAATTCGGGTTACTTTTGCTCACTTCTCGAGCACTCGCGTGTTTTCCTAAAAGGTTACCCAGATGTCGCTCTTCTCCTGTCGCTTAAACCGAATTACCAACGCTGAGCATAAACCGCGCCGAAGCATACATATAGAAAATCATGAGATTCCGGCGGTACTGTAATATTAAGGAATACGTGTGTAGTACCGTATAATGCTTCGGTCATACACTTATTACGATTTAATTACTGAGACTTGTCTCTGTCTTGAAAGCCGGATTGATTCAACGAGAATTCAGAGAAGCGCAAAATCGAGGGGTTCCAATACCGATTCTGTGGATTGCTGAATATTTCGTGATTGACGGTGAAGGCATAAGATTCGGGAGAAGATATCGAACTGCTGGCTGGTACTCGCATTTCTTTTTATGGTGAGAATCCGATTTATTTATGTCATAATGAATGTAAAAATCCCGCTCTAATTATAAATAGTTAGATCGATGGTAACAGACACATTCAGTTATGAATAAACCTTAAAAATCTTGACCGCGATACCTTATTATTAATCGTTTGAAATACAGTACACAGCATCGTTGAAGTGTGTTCTTGAAAGATATATAATAAAATCACAAATTAGTGCTACACTTCATTTAATTCTTGAACAGTTCTTGAATGGTGGACGGCTTTTCACGTTGCTTTTCACGTATGTTAGAAGGCTTTCAAAAATTCAGCCAATCTAAGAAGAACTCATTTCAAGAGATGATAGGTCCACAAACTGAACTAAACTTTTTGGGTATGAATGTAAATTGTCTCTCACGTTCATTTTGATTTCCTAAAAGCAGCAGGAATTTATTTTTATCATCGAAAACAAAATTATCAATCGAAATTAACTATTGTATGCTGTGCTGTTGATATAGATTCTGCCATTCTATTGAACTTTTATATCACTTGAAAGGGGAGCATTTGCAGCCTGGATTTTGATGAACATTCTCATGCGAATGGTTGTGAGGCGTGGGGCTCAATTCATGGTGCTGACCGGATCTCTGATGATTCTGTCAAACATAATTTGGATTTCGACTCGAAATTTCACTGAACTCGCCATTCCTTTCGGAGACTCCGAGGACCACATTCTGAGGACCCACTTCGGTTTCCACTTTTGGAATTGTCTCAATGCAGGTTGGCAAATAATACTGCAGTTAATATATTTTCAGCATTTATGAATTTCATATTCCAGTGCTCATAGGCTTTTCGCGTAAAAATGGAGACTGAAACCCTAATTTTGGGCAGCGGTTTGAATAAGGAATAACCTACTATTCAAAGTGGAACAAATATTTGATAATCTTTATTTGGAATTAACCTTCAAGAATTTCTCATGCTTCTCTGGAAATTTTCTTATGTCAGTTTTAATTTTGCTATAAAGATGCCTATGAAGACTGAGCTCAATTCCGTGTGAGTAAAAAAAAAAAAAAAAAATGATAAAATAAAATAAAACATTGCTACAAAGACTGCATTTGACCTGATATTCTTTCTTGGTCATAGGTTTTGGGGAAAGTTACGCTTTTAAATTCAGTATCCACGACACGAAAGTTCTATAGCGTAGGATTTGTTAAAAAATAATTTTTTGCCAAAACGCATTCCTGTTATTTCTCTGTTAACTTTCTTTTTAGTAAGTTACGAGATTATTGTGGCTTTTTTGCAAGTTGCATGACTCGATCGAAATAATCCGAAATCCAGATTGCAAAAATTTGAATGACAGTTCTTGTTCCAGTCCCATGTGAATTCGTTTTGGTGACGTACGTATAATCCCATCATCTTGCATGACGTCGGTGAATTTCATGCTTCCGGAAATTTCCCTTCGAAATTTCACGACAGATGACAAAGCTAACTGATTCCTTTCATTTCTGCTCGGATTGAAAATATTTTCAATTGCGCGCATCGATTGATGCAACTTCACTAAAACGAAATACTGTATGATGGGATTGGATATATGGACATTAATTAAATTAAATTCCATATTATCACGCGTATTTTCAATTTTCTGTTCCAAGTTCAATGAACAACGTGGCTAAATTTCGGAAAGCAAAGTATGATAAAAATAAAATCGCAAGTTTTATCTCACCATTATCTTTTTTTGGTATGACCTTTTTTTTTGCGTGCAGGAGTTCAATCGTTTTTAGCCGGGATTTCCCTGTATTTTCTGGACCAAAAGTATCCACATTTGACGACTGATTTTTTCGAAGTCGATCCTCTGCTCGAGTATGAAGAGGCACTTGTTAGTGAGTTCCGCTTTTGTAATGAAAATTGCCACCTTTCGAGTGGAGATTTTCCCTGATTGACCTCATTTATACCCTTTTATTCTTCTTCGTTATTTCTAGGTTCAAATGACCTAAAAAACTTTCGTTCCAGAGGAGAGAGCAAAAAATGGGATACGATGGAAATGATGCCTTCGACAAGCCAAGTTCAGGGAAAGAGCGATGTGAGAGACATTTTTGTAGATTTTCATGATAGGAGCGATTTCTACCACTAGTTTAGCACTTTATCACTTGTGTTTGCTTAGGGTGTGAAGTTCCAGTACCAGTTAGCTTCTTAGGTAATTCTTATTTTACTAACTGTGCGCCATTAAAATAATTGATTACCTCGAATCTTGATGCGCACTCCCGGGATAATCATCAGGCAAACAGAGGGCGGAAACAAAATTGTTCTTTTCTTGAAATCGTACCATTTGTTTTCAAAAATTGGGAATCGGGTGAACTTCCGTGTTATTCTTGAATCGAAAAGAAAGATTGCAATTCATTCCTTTTAAAACGAATTAATTTTATCCAACAGGGAGGTCAATACGGACTGGTGCTAAGGAGCAAACGGATCAGCGCATTTCAGAAATTCCCGGCGATTGGCAAAAGCAAAGATTTTTCGCCGAACGACATGGCATAAAGATCAGGAATGTCGACAACAGTTAAATTGAGTTCTGTACACTTGTCGCTTCATTCAAGTCATTTCAAGAGAAATAAATTGTTCATAGAAAGGAATTTTTAGGGCGTATTATTTATTCTGTGAACCTTGACCACTTCGTTCTTGAAAGAACCAGCGTGTTATAATAAGTTATATCTGAGTAATTAAGGGGTGCGGTATTTACGAAAGAATCCAAGAGCAGCTCAAATAATTTGTGGCGGAAATTTTCTAAAAAATTATAACTCGAAAGAATGTTTCAAATTACTTGTTTCTTACTGCACTTACTTCAATATCAACTCATTTTTTCTAATAACTTATTTCCCACTGGCTTTGTTATAGAGACCACAGCATTATCCATCAAATTCATGGTATAAATCTTGGATATACTCCATGATGTAATTTTATCTTTCAAACCCTATATCCAGGAGGATACCTGCATCAGCATGCCTGGTTTGTTGGAAGATGCGAATTCCAGGCTTTCCAGTTGTCAAATATTTCCGAGAGATGGATTTGGAGCCAAGTTTTCATACATACTGTTCACATTGCTAGGAAAAAAACTTCATTCGATAACCTTTATATAAGATTCAAAAAATAAGAAGTAAGGCTGCATGAATAAATTTATGGCTTTTTAATACTGTACTTGGTGTTCTAGATTTTTGTGGGGGGAAATTGGGCTGAAATTTTACTTGCAATATTTGCATAGACATATGTGAATGTCAAGAGATCACATCACGTTCATGAGGACCATGCAGAAGACAATTTACCAAGAATACTTGAACTCTTAGTACAGGAATTGAAGAGTTGAAATTTTTTTTATCGATCGTTCCTATTCCTTGTCGGCTCATTGCTTTTTTGTAACATCAATCCAAATAATAACGCAGGGTGTAAAAAAGGTTTAATATGTGAAAATCAGAAAGGGTCTTCACCACTGGAAGATGTCTTCAAATTGATTTTATAAAAGCTTTGGTAGCACATATTGATACAGTGCATTGTGGAAAATAAAAATCATGAAATATTCTAGGAAAATACGGCTTAGATTTTTTATGTTGAACATTCTTGAGGTGAGATGCGTGATGTGTGACTATCATGGTTGGAAATTTATTTAAAATGTGATTCTGGCAGAATTAAGACAGAAAGTTCTTGAGATTTGAAATTTTCGCCAGAGGTTCTTTTTGGAAATGACTGCGTAAGGGGAGAGATTGACAAGATTTTTTCTTTTAACAATAAGCACATAAGCTCAGTTTTCAAAACTTAATTGTTAATAATACAATTCTTTTTCTTCCTGTAGAATTCTCAATAAGCTTCAGTCCGTTTTAGTGTGAAAATTTTTAAAAATTGTGGAAAGGTCACGAGACAGCAGAAAAAGTTCTTCAAGAATTAGAGTTGAATTTACGTCGTCGTCTTCAGAAAATGTTCAAAACGATAAAATTATTGCTATACTCTTGAAATCACCAAAAAATGTTCCTCCCTTATCATGATGCGGTGTGATGATAAACAATTGCCTTGAGATTCTGAAAAAGTAATGTTTCTCATATTCAATAGGAAAGAACCTATTCTACTATACAGTATATTCTTTCAATTCATTTTATTAATTGCGGCATAATAATTTATGTACAGCAAAACCAGATTGGGGAGAGAGTTTCATTTTTTACAACCAACTTATTCTTTCATGGAAATCCACTTGGGATGGTTTTCGGTCATCAATATGTGTAGTTTGATTTTCACACAGCTCTTATTTTTGACAGAAAGTTGACTTTGGACTTTAAACGAAGGTGACGTTTGAGGAAGAATTAGGCCAGAACTCTGCCGAAAACCATTTATTTCAAAACAATTCCCAAGATGGGAGAGTGCCTTCACAATTCACAGCTAAAATAGGTCTGATTTTTTCCACACAAAATTCACCCTTTTTATACTCAGAAACCGAAATCATAGAGAAAATACAACCCAGCAATCATAAGGAAACTAGTCACAAAAACCAGGTCCCCGAGCCTCCAAGTTGGCATCCAGGGGTGAGCAAACCAGGCGCTAAAAATTACCAGCTCACTGGTAAAACAACCTGATTGCCTCAGAGATTAAAATTTGCTTCCCTGAAATCGCTGAAGGAATCGCTCTGGTAATTTCCGCCACAGATATGAGACCCACATGGTTTCATATACTGTACTGTGCAGTATATACTGTATGTGAATAACTTTGACTAAAAAGGCCTCTGCTGAACGTATTGTTTCCAGGACGTAACTGTGACGAAGCGTTTCTGTGCGTCCCGCAACTTGCAAAGAAATCATGATACTGTAGTTGCAGATTTCCAAAACTTTCTCCCAGTAACGAAAGCTCACAAACTTTGACGAAATACTAAAATCTCATTGAATTCACGAACAATTACGTACAGTACTTGATATTGAAAAACAAGCGCATGAAAAGGCAATTCTGTAAAGTATCCCGTCATGCATTAATATGAAATAATACGTGCTCTTAATGGGTGCCTCGAATCACAACTTTTAATGTTTTATTTCTGAAAAAAAAAATCAGTGAAAGTTTAATTGCATATCTTCAATGTCTTGACTTTTATCAGTGGACACGCATCAAAGGCCACAGGCTTCGCACTCATCTCGCATGGAATAAGTTATAGGACAAAAGTTACTCATCACCCTGTCGATTGGCTGCCCAGAACCCGGGAACAGGGGTTGAACGACTGTTTCGGAATTGTAAAAGTGAAGAACCATGGCATTGCTGATGCTGTCCCAAATCTCCGTTTGCTTCTGTTTTTGGACTGTAAACAAATCCGAGGCGTCTCTCCAGAAAACTGGATGAAAGTCTTTCCAAGGAAGTACGTTCAGGCGGCAGTTGATGAATTGAATCCGAGGATTTTTCTTTTTGAAACACCAGCCGTGTTTGTAGATCAAGTTGGTTGTTGCCCACGGCCCATTTCCGGCATATTCTTTGGGATTGAATCTGTTGCGTTTTCAAGAACCAAGCTTATACACACTTGCTCAATTTTTTTTGCCAGAAAATTATCACGCTCGAGTATGGCAAAGTCGGCCTGTTTTAGTCAAGTAAAGCTTATACAGTGGTACCTCACCTAACAACTGATCAGCCTAACAACCACTGAAAACTTAAAAAAAAAATGACCTGCCTATAACAACCATCGACCTGCTTAGCAAGCATCTGACACTGGGTGGAACATTTCTGGCCTTCCCTTGAACTAATAAATTCAGAAGAAAACAATTTGTATGCTGTTGTTTCATCTTCCTCTCAACCAGCATTTTTGTTGAGGGAAAGTGAGAAGAATAGAAAGAAGTTGCAATTGGTGATATTCCATAGGCCTAAAATTGCCAAATGTACCTTATGCAACAGTGACATCTATGCGAAGTTACACAGGAGGATTGACTCCTGCTTCACTCATAGATGCTGTAGCATATGCATGAAGTACAATTGCTATTAATTTGTTAGGTTATTTTTGAAGTAGAGAAAGGCAATTTAATGAGGAAAAGCATTTGAATGAACCATGGCTGTATTTTTTAGCAATATGTGCTTTGTTATTTGAAAATGTAGGCAAATTTGTACATTTTTCTACCCAAATTTTTTTTTCTCAGTAGCCAATTAATGGGTTTAACATGAATCTTCAAGGGAAAATGTGACCTGCCTTAGGACTGTTTCACCTAATGACCAGTTTGACCACTGCATAGGAACAAATTGTCGTATATCCAAGTGCATTTTTGACCAACCTCTAATTTATCTTGATTAATTTTCTCTAATTTATTTTAAGCTTTCTCATCATCAGTGCTACAGTCTGATTATTGTTGCAATCCTCTACTACCTTCATGGAGTTCTAGCATCACGAAGTATGTACATGAAGTTTGAAACCTGGGGTGGAATATTACCGACGATAACGTAAGAGACAAAAATCGTGAAAAACAGATTCTTCAATAGCGTACGGCGTATGCGGTCTTTTGAACCTTCATCATCAAGCATTTTTGTAGTTTTGCAGGGAATCTTAGATCTCCATGATATTTGTATGATTTTTTGTCCATTTGAGGAGTCTACGACGTATGTATAAGAAGGAAAAAGGCCATTCTCATTTTGAATTTCAAAAATTGTTGATACACAGATGGAATCTCACTATGTACAACGAAACTCAGGGGACCAGAAAAAAATGCGTTCCACACAAAAATTTAATTGTCGAACACACGGGAAGATAACCTCATATGTGACCCCAAAAAAGGCGTCGTTTTCTTCCACGCAAAAAGAAAGTAAAAAAAAAATGGAAAGGATGAATGAATTCAGTATATTGACTCACTTTTCGGTCAAGTACTCCATGTGATCCCTCAAGAAAGCATGTCTCTTTTCAAACGTCATGAAGGCTGCGCTAACAACGTCTGGAGTCTCTTGACTGATCGAATTTTGCAAGTGCGATGTGCTTTTCATGAAAATCATGTCAGAATCTGTGTAAGTCCCTCCATACTTGTACAAATATGCAAATCTGGTTAAGTCACTGACAAAATTCTTCAGAAAACTTTTTGCAGTGATTAGCTCATCAAATCTTGTCCAATTTTCGAAAGGAGTGTTTAAAAATATTTCCCCCAAGTCCAGGTTGTAAAATGCCACCTGATGGAAACAAAAAGTTGAAAAAATTATTAGGCCTGCTCATGATGAGTATATAGCACCACATTAAAGTAAGATTTGAAAATCATACAAATTGTAACTATGCTGTTCACACTTGCATACCTGGTGAATTCCTTTTCAAAATTGAGTGGAACAGAAGGTTAGACACTGTTTCAGGGGATACTATTGAGGACAAAATGTTGCCAATATAATTAGATGTCAAGTGCCAATAAATGAAACACAACAATCAGCCAGGGACAGGGACTGGGAATTCCTTCTAGGAATTCCTGTTTAAAGGGGTAATTGTATTTCACAAGAGTAATTGAATGAAACAACTCAAGCAAACTCAACTTGAAAGATTAACCAAATAATTTGAGTAACACAACTGAAATGAGCTTGATCTAATCTGATTACGTTGAAAGGAGCTGCTTATATACAGTACTACTAATTATAACTAACCTTCAATAGGTTTTACTCTCAGAATAATAGTAGGAAATATATCATCAAGGATGCTGTGGTGCCAGGATGCTCCTGGCAGTGTGATTTTGAGGAGGGGTGATTATTCTGTGCTTCTAGGAATTGATTGGAGTACATTACTTTACATGGCATGCATGCCCAACAGATACCCACAAATTAATTCTGGCAATTTGAGACTGGAAAAATTGAGACAAACTTTTTGGGACTGGGAAAATTGGAGGCATGGAAATTTATATACATTACAGGGACAATATGAGACAGGGACAATTTGACACACTCCAAAAGTGACTCTTCACAAACAAGTTTTTATTTCTTTTACATTAAATTTTCAGGTTCTCATGAGATAATTTGTGGATCTTGGCAAGTTTTATATCATTTTTAAAATTTTTAATATTTCAAATTTGTTTTATTATTATAAATATTCCATTATATTACTGGTGCGCTATAGAATTTTTCTATGCAAGATGTAGTATGTGTAGAAGTATAATTTTTCTTGACCATACAAAGGAGACTATTTTGTGCATTTTATTTCTGTAACAATATTTGGAAGAATGATAAAGGATGTTGTTATGGGTCCATTGGATCCCAGACAAAGGAATTGAATTGTGCAGCCATCAGAATGCAAGTTTTGAAGAAGTACTAAAACTCTTTTCAGAAAAGTTCATTCTCATTGCCCAGAGTGTCATTTGGCTGTTAGTGAAATGGTATTGTGAATGGCAGAATCAATTGTAAGATTGGTTGGTTAGCTTAGAAAAATTAATAAGATAATTTATGTGAAAAGGCCCCTCAACACAAGATTTTCACTTCTCCTCTCAAAGATGAATGATGGCTTTTGTACCCAGGTGCTCAGACTGGGCTGGGAAGAAATCATTTGATTTCTTCCTGAAATCATTTGGAAGAAATCAAAGAAATCATTTGATTTCTTCCTACCTCAGGATTGGCCAATTCTGGGAATAACAATGAAGTTATGACCACTTCTTGGCCTTGGGTGAGGCTCAGTGAGTCTTGCAAACACAGGATTTTTGCCAAGGCTCACTGCTGGCCTTGAGATCCAAAAAGTTTTCTTGGTCTGTTGCAGCTGGATGCATCAGCTGCCGTGCTTTGGGATGTTGAAGATGTTCTGATGTTTTTCCTATGTGTATTAAAGTGTATTGTAATGGATCAAGAGATGAAAAAAGCAAAGAAATGCTTCTGTCTCAAATATTCCCAGTCTCAAAATTGTCTCTGTATCTAAAAGTACCTGTCTCAAATTGGCCTTGTCTCCAATTGCCTGTCTTGATTTGTCCAAAATCCCTTTTTTAGGCTTACAGCATGTGCTTAGTTCATGATGAGTCACATTTCAAAAATATTTTTGGCTCATTGAAAACGAGTATCAAACAAACTGAATTCAATTGTGAAGCGATATAATTCAGGAGAATTTAAAGATTAATTAAAAGTCAGATGTGCGTCACTTTTCTGTTCCTGAGACGTTACAATTTTACTAATCTCAAATTTAACACGTGAATTCGAACAACTCACGAACCAATTGATGAATTGCATCTTTTGAAAGAAAAAAATGTTTACTTACGTTTGGATACGCCGAGAGTACTGCCTTCAAATGTGGACTTTTCGGTACGTGCTTGGTATTCAGTTTGAGTACGGCAATTTGTTTCTCGGGATGGGCTCGTGCTGCTGACTCGATGCTGCACAATTCCCTCGCCTTGAAAGTTGGACAAGCCCCGGAAATCACATACGTGATTGCATTCTCGGGGTAATTTTTCCCTTCTTCTAATTTCAAAAATGAATCCGTCCATGCCGGGTCGAATCGGCAAACTTCCGGCTTTCCGTTGTTGATGGCGTCCAAAACCTCCAGAATGACTGAATAGGTGACACGGTTGTGACTCTGAGACCACCTTTCAAGTTGTTGCCCGAGCAAGATTAAAGCTGCATAGGTGACAATATTCAACCAGAGTTTTTTCCACAATAATATTCTCCCTAAACGCCGCGGCATCATCGTGGCCTGGAATGTGTCGAAAATGTTCATCAAAATCAAAAGTCGAATCACTCCAATCTCTGGAGTATATATAGCCTTCGTTTCAATCACTTGAATAGAACGAAAAGTACGCCAATTTCTCAAGGATCTCATACTTGAGAAATTTTTCTCGAGCGTGGCTGTACTGTTTATAACTTTTGTATATACCCCTTGCAGGAAATTCTACTCACGAATCAACCCCTGGCTCACGTGAATCTCTGCTGTGGGCATCAGGAAAATCAAGGTAGCAAATGGAAAATTCCTGGACTTGCTAAAAAAAATCGAGAATAATTGCGTGACGATAAGCATTTCGAATATAGGTTCACTTTCTAATTTAAATTCAGGAGAAAAAATGCAAATTGTATTTATTTTAAATTTCGCATTGTATTTATTTTAAATTTCGCCTAAAAAAAAAACTAAGCAAAGCACATTTCTAGAAGGAGCCTCTATTTTTGCATACTTCCAGGCGTGATCCGAACCTAATGATGTGGGTTTCTTCGGAAGCACTCTTTTTGAACCAGAATCGATCCACACTTCGTAGAAATTCTGATGGACAAAATTCCATAACACATGATGTGCTGATAAATACGTTTGGCGATTGAGATACCGTGATCTTGGCCAATTTTTTTTGTTGCATTAATGTAGGGAAAAACTTCTTTTCATGCACATTACCTTCAGCAGTTAGTTCCCTTTGCAGTATAGTGATATTAAATGACCTCTAAAAATATCCCTTTTTAAATGTTGTATCATTCAATAAATGGCTGAAAGAGAATACTGTACAAGTTTCTGTCAAGATAAATTATTAAAAATTGATACCAAAGCATAATCTGAACCATGGTCAATCAAACCAATCAAACATCAATGTTACAAGATTTTAAGCAAGCCCTCTTGCAATATTTTGTTGTCCAAATCAGTTAAGAGAATTATCTAGAGACACTTTTGATTAGCGGAAGAACATCTTCTTCCAAAAGAGTGATTAATCTTAAGAATGTAAACTCTATCAGACAAACTTCCAACAAGAAGATTTTGTTCTTGTGGCTGGGGTTGAAATGAAACACAACTTCTTGTTATAGAGTGAAATTTGTTTATTTTCTGTGCAACCTCCGTCAATGCCAGAGTCCAGACTGACGATGAATATCTATACATAAGTACTCAGGTCCCTTTATAGATTCAACAAGATCCAGACACAACTGCACAAGCAGGACAGAGACACTGCAAAAGGGGGCAAGGTAAATGACAACAAACCAGACATAATGACCTTGTCTGCTCCAAAGCAATGTGTTGCTATGCAAGCTTGTTTCAAGTTCTGGTGCATGCTTCTAAAACAGATGGTATTCTTTGCGTATTGGGGGACACGGGAAAAATAACTCTGGTTACAAACTCCATGGTTACAATTTATCATAATGATGTATGCACAGAGTTGACTAAAACCTTATTCAAGTAATTTTTAAAATGTTTTCCTGTCACTGTGTAAGAAACCAAAAGAGGAGAATAACTGTTTCTGCGCAAGCATGAGAACTTGCATAACTACAAAAAAATGACAGCAATAAATTTGCTGTCACCAGGGTTATAAAACAACACAGAAGCTGGGTCATAAAAACCCAACTCCAAAACTCAGTTTTGGCAGAGAGAGCTCAAAGAAAAATTGTTATTTCTTTTGTTACTCAAAAGAAGGGTGAGAAACAAAACCTGGATGTTTGGAAACTCAAAATCGGGTTTCCTATAACCCAATTTGAAGAAAGGGGATCTTCCCCTCCTCCTCCTTGCTAAAATTATGCACATTCCCCACTCCGTGGAAACTGCACAGAAACAAACCAGATATGTTGCCTAACAAATTGGGAAAGAACTTTCCCAACAACCAAAAAGACAATGATTCATCTGCTACATTGTTAACCTTTTTTCATCAACCGTTTCCCTGGACAATCTCACGGCGGTTCCAGCCAATTATTTGCACAGGTATAAATGGGACCTAAGGCACCAAAAATACACATCAGATCATTTTCTGAAGGATACCACTCTGGACAAAAGTCTTCAGCAGTTTTCAATTGTTTTTACAATCTTTCTGCTCTCTCGCAAGAAGTGAATATTCCAGAGCTTTGATTCAAAGTTGTTTCAAGTCTTGCTTGTGAAGTTACAAATTACAATTTGCGCTCATTGTTTGGGATTTCAAATCCCTCAGGTTGGTTGCGCACCAACCAATTGATGTGTTTTATTCTCTTACATCAATCCTCTCATCACTTGCATTCATCTGAATGGAATCAGGGTGCGACCTTCAATTTTGCACACGCTGTGCCTATTTATAGGCATTCAAGTACACAATAAAAATTCAGAATAATTTCAATTTCTTGAGAGCAAGGCTGTTCCACTAATCATTTTGCCTATTCCATGGATTTCCTGTAGGCAATTCAAAATTTACTCTCAACAGCTAATATCAGAAACTCATGAAAAGCCACAGTGCAGCCACTTACTTGGAAAACCTTTACAGTAATTCTTGATTACCTCTTCACCATATACCATTGAACATTCCAAACTTTCTGTACCTACAATTATTCGCGCCTGGTTGTTATGAACATCAGCAAGAGATTATAATTTTTGATCGGCTCCTAATACGGAGAAGTTCAATCAACTTCTATAATTCTTGATTAGATTTGAACCACTTGTTGATTGATGACAGATTCAAGTTCATGAGTGAAGCATACTTTTTTAACAAAAAAAGATCTACTAGACTTCTCTCAATATAAACCTGAATACACAGCAGAAATTTCCACATTTGGCAAAAAATTTAGGAGTATTTCTCGAAAAAGAAAAGTTGTTTACCTCTGCGAACTTTCTGCGTCGAAAAGGGAAAGACGATTAAAATATGTTCTAAGCCCATTTGAATCAATTTTATTAACGTTGAATTCTTGGAATCAAACGAGAATCTGGTCAGAAAAAGGTCCGATTTCCAGCAAAGATGCCTTGAAAAGGTTGATCACAACTAGCGCGTGCAAAAAAATTGGCACATTCCGCGCCGAAAACGCGGAACTGCTGATAACCTTCTCGAAGATTTCTACAGAAACCACCAAGAAAAAGAAGCACGCATGAGTGTATAAGCAGTATATTATTTGGGTTTGCGTCTCAAACTGACACTGAGGATAAACCGAACGTACTGCAGGTGTATCTTTTATGTTAGCTACCTTCCGATTCGTCGAAGCATCAGCAACTTTTGCCAGCAAAAAAGTTCCGGAAACGAAAAATCGTGGAAATGACTTGCTGAAATGACTCTGAAAACCTTGCATGGTGAACATGGGAAAGGAAGCCATTATTTTTACAGCTTTTCTGTGTTTTCTAAGAAATTTCAGCCAGATGTTGCTCACCTTTAAAGGTACAGTACAAGTACAGTATACTGTACTCATGACTGTCATGAGTGAGCTAAAGCACAACTTTGCACCTTGTGTTGGATAAGAAGATGGGCCTAATTTTTCTTTGCATAAGGAAATGTGCATTTTTTCCTCAACTCATCACAAATTTTCTTAGAATTTGCAACACCCAAAAAAATTTTATGCAAGCTCTGAATTTTATATTGCTTGAATGATAATTGAGTCTCTATTTTAGCATGGAAAAAAAATTGGCCATGTACTTTTGAAATCAATCATGCCTGAATTATGAAAATTCATCCCCAAGTAGTGCAACAGTGTGCACAATAAAGGCTTCCAGGACAGGAAAAGAAGAATTGTGCCACACCTTGAAGCATTGAGAGACAAAAAGCCTCAAGCAAGAAAATCTATAAATAATTTTGACTGCCACTTCAACAGCAGTGCTGGAGGTCAGTATTCAAACATAATGGATCAAAACATAATTCAAAGCAGGAATTGAAACAATGAATGGACCAACTGTAAGGTTTTACAACTAGAGATGGAATTTTTATCAAGCCTTACACCTTGATTAGTTCAGCAGAGTTTTTATAAACAATAAGTTTCAGACTACGGTTGATAAATCAAATCAAACATGGCAATAATCTGCCAGGCGCAAACCAACCCGGGATTTCTCCCTTCTAGCGCAGACCTTTCTTTGATGCACAAACACATACACATAATTGCAAGCAATTTGTACAGAAAGAGTATACACACACACACACTCGAAATTAAGTCACACAGAACCTTTTTGAATTTATTTGCAAGGAATTCAAGATGTCCAGAAATGGACTTTCTGTCACCCCAGTTTTTGGGAATGGTCTAATCTTTTGTTTGTTTTGGCGCATCTTGGGATGCGCCAATTAGATTACAATTTTGGCTCCGTTTTGGCGCCTTGCTTCAAAGCAGGGCCTCAAGAAAATTCTGCACACTAACACTCTCATAGAGATTTATCTCCATGGGGAATGAGAATCCTAAAAAGGAGGAAGCAACTGGAAAATAAAAACGGTCCCAATTGAACAATACAATGACCAAGAAAACTGGCCGCACCAGGAAGTTGTAGCCAGAAGTAATTTCAGAATGAAAAAGGCTTTAAATGCGCATTCAAAATTTGGCAAGGGTTTCAGAAATAAATTTTATTTCTTTCTATCTATTTTTTGGCCCAATTCGCTGATAACGAAATTTTTTTCTTTTCTATAAATGCTTGCAACTTTGACGGCATTATTTTTTCTTAAAAAGACATGTTGGATTATATAGATGACCAAAACTTGGAAACGTTGCAAAAAGATGAAACACGTGTTAATTTTTTCTCATGCACTATTTTTTTTACAGAATTGCGCTACTCTCTTACTCTCAGCAATGCAATTGGACCAGTGGAAATTACATACATGTACAGTACAGTATTTCGAAATTCAACTTAATCATTTTCCATTTTATTCCGGAATTGTATTAAGGTTGCATCGTTCGATGCATGCCATGAGGAATTTTCTCTATCCACGCAGCAATATTATAAAAAGACGAGCTTCGTCATTTCGCGCAAAATTTTCGAAAACACGAAATTCGCGGACATCATGATGATGTCCGCGACATCACCATAAAAATGCTTATATGGCACCAGCAAGGAGAACTGCTCTTCTACTTTTGGATCTAGATCCCCAGTCATGGCCAGTCATGCAACTCACGAAAAGCAGGTCTCGAAGGGTTTCCCGGCGATGAAGCAAAATACCACAACACAGGAAAGGTATGGAAAAGAATTTGTTTTTGGTCGCAATTTATCCCCAGTAAGCAGTAACTGAGCAACGGAAACCGCTCGTACGATGAAAATTTATAAGCCCAATTTCACCGGAAATCGCGCCTTTGCAAGAAAAATCCCAGATGCGGCCTATATTATTATATTTTCATCAATTCTTACTCAATGAATGGCCAACTCCCTCCATCCAAGCACATGCTCAAAATTAGTATTTTTGTGAGTCCGCTGGAAAATTTCTTCCATATGATACCTTTTTTTTAAAATTACAGTAGTAATAGTCTATTATTGCAATCCAAAAGTTTTTAAATATAATATGACAGTTGAAATTATACAATGAAAGATAAAATATGGCTTCTCTCCAAATCACAGCACTTCAGGCATATTTTTACTGGCTGAAGTGTATTATTTCAAAATTTCAATCTGAGAAATCTTTCTCAAAGCCTGGATTCCATTATTTTTTCAAGACATTCTCCTAAATAGCTGCTTCATTGGTTCTCAACTTCATGTTTACTATGTAAGTTTTGTTCTGAGGACTGTATCACAGGTATTTAAAAAATGTCTGCTGGTTTTCAAATTTTATGGGACATTACCAGTCCATGGAAAATTTTATGAAAATATGCCAACCCACAAGCTCTAAAAGTTTGGGGAACACTGCTCTAAATCAGTGTTCCCCAACCTTTTGGGTCTGTGGACTGGCAACCCAAAAATTAATTTCCCTACAGACTGGCAAACAACATCTGCAGACCAGCACCAGTCTACACACCACTGGTTGGGGAATGCTTCTCTAAATCAGGCTGGTGGTCTTCAGAGATGTTTGGACACACGCTTGATTAAAATAAGCTCTTAAGCTTGCTTTTTGTTGGAAACTGTAAAATTCACCTCTGTGATGTGAATAATGAATGAATGAATGAACAGAAAACTTTATTTGCCGCTTTTCAGCGTTCACAAGGCACAACCAAAACTCCCGTTCACATATTCTATGTGAATAAACTTGTGGATAGCAAATTCTTGGGAGTTTGTTGTATTCTCCACACTAGTCAGTTTCTACAGAAAGTGAGCAGCAACTTTGTGTGGGTCTTGCCCATACAACCTCATAATGGATCTCCCTGGTCCTCAGGTCTGAACTACTTGACCTGATCACTTCCACAATCATCCATACTACTCAGGTGCCCACTCAGTGACCTAGCTGAGGGCACCCATCTCTAAAATTTGGAGTTTCAAGACCTTAGCTTACAATTGCTTGTAGCCACTCATTCTAGGCACAACAATTATAGCCTTTAATAAGGGAATATACTGTACAAGTATACTGTATATGTAATCAAAATGTAAAATATACATTCTGCATTTGTCAAACTGCATTGAGAGAATTACAAATATGGATACCAAAGCGGGTCCTCAGCATGTGGCTGTCTGAGATGATGGTTAACCTTATTTGCATATATGAACATATTGCATTCATTTTTCTACGTGCTCTCTTTGATATATGTGTGAACATGAATGAAAAAAATACATATTTTCAATTCACACACTATTGTAAATTTCAAGAGAGTTCAGTACTGTATATCATATTCGCAGGGACCTTTCACAAATATTTCAAAGAATTGCGAGTCCCTGATGGATTGCTGCGCACTGGACTTTTGACGGAAATTATGAAACCTTGTATATTTCGTAATTTCTTATTTGTCATTTTCGGTGGATGAACAAAGCTTGCTGCTGAATTTTAAAGATTCCAAGCTTGCTGAGAACTTGAGATCAAAAATAGCTATGAAAAGCTGAATTTGTTGACTACAGCGACGACGCTCTTCGTCATTTAAATTATGAAAACCGGCCTCATGCCTGTTCTTCAATTTCTTGTATTCAAACGTTTAGTAAATCAATGTATGTTTCTGATTCAGGTTTCTGGCAGTTTATTTCTGAAGCAGGTCTCTGATAGTACTGTATATTTTTGAAACAGGTCGCTGACATGAGAAAAAAAAAGAAGATTCCTGTGGGACTGACATTTACTCCTGGGCCTACGGCATCAAAGTCCACGGGCTTCGCACACATCATGCATCGAATGAGTGATATGACAAAAATTCCTCATGACCTTGCTGATCGGCAGTTGAGAACCCGGGAATAACAGAGGCTGAACTACTGTTTCGGAACTGTAAAAGTGAACAAAAACGGAATTTTTGACACTGTCCCAAATCTCAATTGGCTTCTCTCTGTTGAGCGTGAAAATAATGGCGCGTCTCTCTCTAAAAAAAAAAAACTGGATGAAAGTCTTTTCAAGGGAGAATATTCATGCGGCAGTTGGTGGAATCAATTCGAGGATGATTCTTTTTGAAACACCAGCCGTTTCTGTAAATCAAAGTGGTCGTTGCCCACAGACTGTTTGTAGCAACAGAAATAATTTCAATCACTTTTTTAAATAAACGAAACTGCAATCAGCTGGTCTGTGGCTGGGGTGCTTGACATCCTAGTGTAAAGTTTATGTATTTGACAAATAACACGAGTTTTCAACACAATCAAAATTAGAGTTTTACATCTGTTGCATGAGACTGCCAAAATATGACTGGTACCAAATCAAGAAATTTAGGCAAAAATAAATTTCTCCCAGGGTCATTTTGTCCTTGACAACTGAATAATGAATGAATGAATGAACAGAACACTGTATTTGCCGCTTTTAGGGTGTTCTCACCCCGGTCGCAGCCCGACCGAATTTCTGTGTTTTATTCAAACCTACTCACTCTATTTCTTCTCAAAATAAGGTTTCCTTCCTAAAATCTTTATCTGTTGGGTTTATTCCTGACAACTGCCAAAATATGACTGGTACCAAATCAAGAAATTTAGGCAAAAATAAATTTCTCCCAGGGTCATTTTGTCCTTGACAACTGAATAATGAATGAATGAATGAACAGAACACTGTATTTGCCGCTTTTCAACGTTCACAAGGTTCAATCAAGATTCCCACAACCAAACCCCCTTCCCACCCTACCCAAATCCACTCAATGACTGAATAATATGAGGAAGCCCCAAAGATATCAGTAGGAAAACTCATGGGAACTCAAGCTGGTCAAACTCAGTCCCATGGGATTCCTGAAGGTTTCTTTCAGAAGCTTAAAGAATCTATCTTCTTCCCAAATTGTACTGTATTTATTATTTCCAACACTATCTCATTTGTATTTATAATTTCCAACACTGTTCCTGGCCTATTCTTCCAAATAGAAGATGGCGAAATGAATGTTTAAAATAAATCTTCGAGCTTCAATTAAGCTTCATGAAATCAAGAAAAAGTGCATTTCTTCAATATATCCGGAGCCTAAGTCGATTGAACGTAGGAATAAACTAATAAAGGGGCTCTGTAATCCATTTCGGTACCTGGCGAGAAGGGTTTCCAATTCAGCAGATTCCGATTTGGAATCGCAATCGAAATGTCGTCGTACACCTTTAAATCCACGCTGTGGCGCTTCGGAAGATTATTCTTTTTGAATAAAGAGACTGCTCTTGAACAGTGTTCTGTTTGAAAATTTATTTTGATTTATCAGCGACAGCTGCTTGAACGCTTGAACAATGATTTTGACGTGCTTGTTCGCATTATTGCGCCAAAGCTTGTTGAAAATTTCAAGCAAATGTTATCTTTTGAAGCAGAAATCATGAATGAGCCAAATGTTCTGGAAATGATTTCCTTATGCTATGCGTGAACTACGATACTTCGAATGAATGACAAAAGAAATGGAATCTTGACAGAGACATTGTCCTCTTTCATTATCAGGTGTTTTATTGTTTTTCAATAAGTTCCATCAATGCATTCTAAAATTTAATGAAGACATTGGATTACGTTTTCATATTTAGATGTGGAAAAAATGTCCTGAGAAGAATATTTTCTTTTTATCAATCTCTGACGAACTCCACCCTGCGATTCATTTTACCAGCGCATACATAAATTTAATATATAAAAATTATCACAAATAAATGTACAGCAATTCTTTCAGGAATTCAATAAATCTTAGAGATAGAGATTCCTTCACAAATATCATTTCTTGACGCAAAATCAAAAAAAAAATCCATGCTAGTACTCAGGGAAATACATGCTTGCAGTATCTTCATTGACGGATCTGCATTTTGAATTTTAGAAGAAATATGAATTTTGTCCACTTACCATGACATTTTCAAAGCGCAAATGACAATATTCAAGAATGACATATGGTATTATTTTTCTTGCCATTTTATTCCACTGCGACGTGCATTGCAAATTTTTCAGCAAATTAAATGTGCACACGTCCCTCGTGCTCGTGACCTCGAAATGATCAACACGGTGAATTTAGTGACTGGGGCTTCTTAATATGATTCAGAATAGTATTATACTTCAGAATTTACACAGAAGTTTGCATAAGTTAATCAACCAAGCAAATAGAGGATATATAATTCAGATGAATTCAATTCATCAATAAATAAATGGCATGGAAGGGAATATTCTGCAGCAAACAAGGAAAGCATAATTCTAGGGTTCAAAGTCCGAGATATTACAGCTCATCACGGATAATTTGTTTTTCTGCGCATCACAAATGATTTTTCATTTATTTATTGATCTTCTCAATTGAAGGCACACATTGATGAATTTTCTTTGTGGAGACTTGTCATTTTCAGCCAGATGTTTCTTTTTCAGTCCCGCGATAGCCATTCGGATTTTTCTGCTTCCAGTTCCAGAAATCCTTGCCTGAATATAGAAAGTTGACAGGAGCATTTGTTATTTTCTTCGAAAAATGCCTTCCGGAGGAATATATGCTGCTCTTCTTTCAATTGAAAATTTATTGAAATTCCTTCCTTTTTCATCAAATACGGTTTTCATCGCGGAACCCACACGTTGTTTTGAAAATAGCCAAGGAATACTTGACTAAATTATTACTGTATTAATTATTGTAAATGGAACCCAAGTTTGAGGGACAAAATCCTTCCAATTTTACGACTGGCAATCGTTCAAAAGCAACATTTCCAGACCAAAAATTTTATAATGCTGGAAGAAAAATCTACTGATGCACAGGCAAAACCTTGAATTAAAAATAAGGTTCTATTTCCAGAAAATAAACGGAAGAATAAAATATTTACCACGTTGAGGTCTGTGATGCATGACAGGTAAAAATAATTTAGGGTGGAATATCTCTCCAGGATCTGCTGGTCTGCAACGATTTTATTTTTATTTTTGGTCCAAAAGGATTCTTCCACCATGTTACAGGGATTCTCAACAGCTAAAATCTCTCAGCAACGAATTTTGTTGTAGAGAGAGTCCACTTGTATTACTTTTTTTTTAGTTCAACGGGTGTTGCTGCATACATTTACCATGCACTTCATTGACCTTTTCTTGGCCTCTCAAATGTATGCACAAAACATAAGGCTACCTTACTGTGTACTCAAAACTGCGATGTGTTCAATAGACTGTACTTGGAAAGATTGTCTTAAGGCCACGTATGCACCGACAATGTTCAGATAAATTTTTGAATGCAAATATCGAACTTTATGTTTGGGAAAAAATACTCGAGAAAATTTTCAGTGAATACTAATTACGTACACATCTCAACTGGATCGGTGCATTTCGGTTTGTAGCCAAGCTCCCGAATAGCTTTGCTGGGATCGGTGAACATTTTCGGAGCGTCGATCTGGAAAGGCCGTCTTTCGCCGATCACAGCATTTATCTTTTTTCCCGAGGCTTCCTGGAAAGCGTCAACCAGCTCCTTTACAGAAATTCCTCTGCCAATGCCCATGTTGAAGACCTGTACAAGACGACCGTATAATCATTTTCGTATGATAATAAGATACAATTTGACTGATTATTGCCCCAGGGAAATTAAATTGCATTACAGTAGAACGTGGACACTTTTTGATGCAACTCAAGTAGCACAACTAATTTCGAGGAAAGAGGATTGAATCGTTTAATAATGCTGCAGTTAAAACCGTTCATTTCGTTTTAACGCCTTATGTCCATTGGGTTAAAGAAAAGCAACTCATTTTGCTACAGCACGAATAATTTTTTTTATTTCTCACGTTATTTTGAAAAAAGCCCTAGGAAGGCACATAATTATTTTTATTGTAAGTCGGACGCAGGTATGAAAAGCAACTCGTTTTGCTACTCCTGTCATTTTTTCTAAACCCAAATTAAAGTGTTTGTGCATAAGCTCTGTGAATGTTTGAAAGCATGCCTTTTCTTGAACGAGTTCTGGTAGCAGTGAGATACGTATTAGATTTTCAAGGTCAATTGAATTTGGAATTTGGTCAGAAGCATTCTCTAGCTTGGAAGCATTCAAAACCTGAACCACGAATAAAGAAAAAACTTCCACTTTGAAGTTTTGAAATCATATTTACATCCCAACCGAGGTGTTCGTTCTCCAGCTTTTTCATAGCTAAAACGTGTCCGTCGGCCAAGTCCATGACGTGTGTGTAATCCCTGATACCTACAGAAAAAGTGGAAGAAAAAAAAACTGATGCACAGAAATTGACGACATTCGATTGAATCTCTTCACAAGTTCCATCCGGAGTGTCGTAATCATTTCCGAGAATCGCAAACGTTTCCACATGCCCAATGGCTGCTTCTGCCAAACACGGCAAAATATTCACGCATGGTTTCTTCGAGTCCTCGCCAATTTCTCCGGACTCGTGAGCCCCGATCGGATTGAAATATCGCAGAGAAATCATGTTGAATTCCTGAAAAATAATGCCATGATCCGCGTTATTCGCAAGAAAAAAAAAATGTTACTGATGAATGAGCTTTAATAACTCAGTGGATCAGGAAACTCGGACATTTATGAAGACGGCAGCGACATCTAGAGTAAATCATCGAAATTGGCCGACAGGACAATAACTCACGGTGTTTCGACGACAATTAAGTCATTAAAGCGAGAAAAGTTGAAAAAAAAATAGTGGAAGGAAAAATGAATTAATGACGCACCGGATATGCCCTGAGGACATCCTGCATAATTTGTTCGCAAAATAATTTCGTTCTGCCATACGGATTCCTGGCTCCGATATGATCATCTTCGTTGACCGGAACTTTTCCCGTCTGTCCATAAACGGTACTTGATCCGGAGAAGACGATGTTTCGAACTTTGTGAGCTTCCATTGCCTGAATATAAAAATGAATCGTAATTATCTACTTCTTCAAAAATGACAACGTATCTCTGCCAAAAGTTTTGGAAAAAGAAAATTGAATCCTTGAGTATAGTTGGGCAGATCGAAATTATTTTTTTTTAATTTAATGACTTACCCTGAGTAAATTTAGCAAAGCCATGATGTTGTTCTCATAGTAGTCGAATGGTTGGTACAACGATCTTTGGACGCTCTTATGGCCAGCAAAATGAATCACGGCATCAATTGAATGCTGAAAAATATGAAATAATTTTCCGAACATTCATTCGAGGATAAAGGCATTTTCACATATTTCATCGTATCAGATAGTCATGATCCTGAAAATGTCAACTCAATATATGTCCTTTAAAGTCGCGTGTGTCCGCAAAAAAAATGGATAGCAAACATTTGAATCGTTTTCTGCATTACAAAAATGAATTTATGCCTGAATTCATTTGCGTATTATGCTTGACAAATAGGAATTCTACTCCTTTCTTTCCTTGTTTTGAATTTCCTGAGTTTCTGTAATAAATTAACTACATGGAACTTCATCTAGAATCGGTAGAGGAAATTTTTTTTAATAACCACTCCTTTGCATTCCGAAACGTATTCAAAAATTTAAAAATGCAACGGCTATTATACAGCTTTATTTCCCACTTTATTTTCCTCTTCAAATAATCAATTGATGCTAAATTTCGGTTCAATCTTAATTTTCCGAAAAAAAACACATTTCTCTCAGAGAGTTGCATTTTACTTCCGGCACGTAAATTGGACCCCTTCAATTTAATTTTCAAAATTAGAAATTTTTAGAGCAGGTAATGGTTAGCTTTACAATTATGCAAATGTGGAATTGAACATGACCACCCATTAATGGGTCTATTCATTTGTTTGTGAGGCAAATGATTGAAAGAGTAACAGGTAATATCATTGTGTTCAGACGCTTTACATGACTTTTTGAAATATCTCTGCACATGAATGAAAAATTTTGTTGATGACAATCAATGTATGAGTGATTTACCAGAAAAAAATATGCTGGAAATCAAAATAAAAAATACAGCTTACTTCAAGTTCAACACTTGATTGAATCTCACCTCGTCAAAAATTTTGAAAAGTTCGTTGCGGTTGCACAGATCTACATTGTGAAAAGCGATCGGTTTCCCTGTCAATTTTTGCACTCGATCAAGAGAAAAGGCTCTTGTCCCGTCTTCTGAACCAAAACTATTGGCCAAATTGTCAACCACAACCACATTGTATCCGTGTTGAAGAAGAACCAGGGCACAATGACTGCCAATGTAACCGGCTCCTCCAGTCAGCAAAACAGTTTTTGATTCACTCATTGCCAAATTTTTTTGCAAAACTTTTTCTATACACTCTTCAAAAGGTTGATTTGTGTTGCAGCCTGAGAATACCCGTCGGAGAACCCGTGTTCTGAATGGAAGTCACAAAGATTTGTTCCCAGGAGTATAAGAGTTTCTCTTTTTTCTGTCAATATTGTCAAAAAAAAGTGAAAAACACGGAATATTTGCAGTACTGTACTGAAGTTTTATTTGAGTGAACTGAACATGCGCGACGAACAGGAAACGTGTAAGATTACAAATCACTGTCTTTATTTGAAAAAAAAATGAGAGGAAGAAAAATACATTGAATGCTTGCCCTGGCTATATAGTAAAACTATGACTGCGAATTTTCTGTCCTCATTTGTGAAATGCGAGCTGTGTGATTTAAAACATTTTCAATGACTTTCATCAGAACAACCCATTTTAATCAATAAAGTTATTTGCTTTGGAAAACAATGTTATCCTTGAAACGGGGGAATTCTTCATACGCATAATAATTTCACAAATAACTTAATAAGTCATAAGTTAGAAGGGTTGAGGAATATCAAGTTGTAATATACAGTAGTTTTTTTTTTTTACATAAAAGTTTTCAGTCAAACTTCTACATGTTCTGGATGAACTCGACCAACTTCACGGCAATTCCGCATTTCTTTTTCTGAGGAATCTTTTCTTGGTTTCAAATTTCCTGCGCATCGTTTCTCTGAAGAAGAAGAGGAAATTTGAGCATGGGGTAGATCAGGGGTGCCCAAGATACGGCCCGCGGGCCAGATCTGGCCCGCAGAGGCCTTCAAACTGTCCCGCGGACCATCCCACCAAATTTGCCTTAGCTTAAGATATATTTAGCAAAATTAAAAAAAGTATTCCTTCTTCCAAATTCAAATTTTTATGATTTATTCTCAATATTTTTTCAAAGAAACTCCAACAATTTGTTTCCTTAATGCTTGCAGTTTACATAAAAAATACAGGAATAAGTTAGTGATTCACTGTATTTCTGGAAGCTTCCAGAACTTTTAGTTTCAGTGTGCACTTTAAGTGGCACACTCCCTCCTTCCATGCTTTCAACTGGCACATGCATGCAGCTTTCTGAAGCAACTGTTCTCACTTTCAGGAACTGGTACAAAAGTGATACAATTCATTTATTTTAGTGATTTTTAAACAAAAATTAAGTGAGATCACAATGAATTGTACTTAGTATTACATATTTGTGATGAGCTGAGTACAGTAGTATGTTGTTAGTTCATAATTTTCAGGAACATGTGATTTTGTGCTAGGAAAATATGGGGCAAGGATAGCAAAAAATTCACTTGAAAAAGAAAAGCGTGCATTGAATTGCAGCTTTTCCTCCAGAGAAAAAATTGAAAATGGAATTTTTCTTTTGCAAAAACATGCACACTATTAATAGGGTTTTAGCACCATCAGATAAATGGAATATGCTGAGGGATTTAAGAGTTAACAGTGATCTTCTGGTCAAATAATATTTGAATGAGACAATTTATCATTCAACAAAAGTTTGAATAATGAATGCCTGAAAGGAGTGACACACCTAAGATTGTCAGTGCGCTTAAGAGTAGCTAATGAAGAATGATCAAACAAATATTTCTTCACAATCTTCAATGGCAAAATTCTTTGCCTGGTTTGTCTTGAAAAAAATTTCAGTTTCCAAGGAATGCTATCTTTTCAGGCATTTCAGATCCAAACACAAAAAAATTTAGCAAGATGAATTACTCTGAGAAATTTCCAAGCTTGCTTAAAAAAATAAAAGGAACTTGTTGACTTTTGTTAACTTCAAAGAATTCTAAAATTTGGAAAAATGTTAGAGGAGTTAATTTATTTTCAGTATTGTGGCCCTCAGAAGAAGGCTTGTTTCTCAATGTGGCCCTTGACCACTTTTGAGTTGGGCACCACTGGGGTAGATGATTAATCATAAAATTTTAAAATATGAAGCAAATTCGAGGGAAATATTCCTGAAAAACATGGTAGGGCCAAAGAAAAATAGTGATCATGTTTTTTTTTTTAATTGTTGTTCTCGACAATGGCCCTATATCATCTTCCCTGCATCGGAAATATCAAGGCTTTTGACACTTTCCCAGGACATTTACTTTCTTCCAGCGATTCTGCTGGGATTCAAGATGAGTTACTGAATAAGGATTACATATATGGTGATGTGAATTTACGAAGTATGACGTGGCTTTTGCTCAATATCGGGATTTCCTAGCCCCGACATCTTCGAGCACGTATACGTGGGCTTATTTTTCTGGTTCCACGGAAAATGCTTCAGTCATCCGCTGGGTTGCCAGCGCGTAATTATTCAAGACGACTAAATTCCAATTTTCGGGTTCAAAGCATTCGAAATGAATTTTTCGAGATTTTTTGGTTCGTGAAAAAGCATTGAATAGAATAAAAAGTACACATTTAGCAATATCATATGAATACATGCAACTCAAGTCGCGCAAACAAATTACAAAATAAATAACTTCCCTACTGAAGCTTGTATATACCATATTCACTTCCCAAAAATTTATATTTTTTCAACGGTTAACATCAAAATACATCCTGGACTATGATTTTCCCAATTCTCCTGTTCAAATCAATCAATCATCAGTGATATAGCAACGATTTTGTTATATTTATTCATGAAAATCCAAAAGCCGAACCAAGCAGAAAAACCGATTCCCACAGGAATATTCACCAGTTTTGAACTTTTGACTTCTCAATTCGATATTTGCATGAACGAAATACTGAAATAAAAAGGAAAATTTTCACCGCCATATTCCTTCTTGTGAAGAAGGAAAGTTCAGTGTGACGTCATGCACAATTTAGTACTGATGACAAGTACGAGAGTCTTGAATTTCTCCAACAAGATAAATGAAGAAACTTGAAAAATTATCAGTGTATTTTGACTCGAAATAAAATGGCACGACTTGAGACTTACCCACAAAAACTGCTTTCAAATAAATTCTGAACATAATCTGTACGTCTTTCGACGAAAAAATTGAAGCGAAACACGAAATTAAAAATGTAACACAGAAAAAAACTTTCTCCACTATACAGGTTTTACACTATTTGAATCCGCTGCTGGAATCGGCGAGTCACACGCCACGCAGATTTAAAAAGATAAAAAAAAGTAAATCGCTCATATAGCTACGTCATCCTCGATCAACAGACTTCAAAATCAAAACAAATCAGCGACAAAAAAATAGATTTCTAGGCCAAATTTACACTGATATCCTGAGAGCAGATATTCTAGAAAATAGCACACCAGAAATAAATTTTAAGATTTATATTTCATTTTAATGCATCGTTCAAATCTTTCACGTCAATAAGACTTGACATTAATTCTTTTCTCTCATTTCAATATTGTACTGCTGCGCTTCTTCTTCAACTGTAAAAATGTATTTTTATGACTAAATTTGTTGCTTGGTATGTACGAGTCCCTTCTGCTGGAGAACAGAGCTGCAGAGATTTGTCAATAAGGCTCTGCATAGTCCCCATTATCTTATTTGATCACTGTCCCATATGGGATGGTGATCAACTGTTCTATGTGGGACAATGATAAAATAAGGTCATGCTTGGGGACTGACATGCCATGCTTCTTCACCAGTTTATAGGTTTATCTCATGGTAACTGTTTTCCTATAAAAGCGATATCAATGCATAAAGAATAGCTTCAGATGTTCACCAAAATTCTGTTCTTTGTAGGGTATCTAATTTGAAAAAAAAGAGAAATGACAAAGTTAAAAATGAAAAAACTTGAATTTGTTGAAGAACCATCCTTCAGCCTCGTGGGGAGGGAGCAAACAGTGTAGCATTAGGGAGCAAATGGCGCAGTACAGTACTTTTGGGTAAATTAATCTCAATACAGGTGACTGTCATATCAGCCATGTGATATGGGTTCAATACAGTTGAAAATATGCGGGAATTATATGCTGGGGTGTAACTGAGCAATCCATTGTTATCCTAAAATCCCATTTTTGATACTGTAATATAATTAATTTCTTTGAGCAGCATTGAGCCTTAAGTAATCACTTGCTGCAACATCTCACTGAAAGATTACTACCAGCCTTGCAGCTCAGGTAACAGTATGTTTTTCAGTCTTTAATATTGGTATAGGCCACAGGACTTTTTGCAGAAAGGACAAGTGGAGCAATAGGAATGTTTGTTGATCAGCAGGGTTTATTACAATCAAATATACACAAGTTGTCAAAACAATATCTTGAGTGCAAATGCTGAAGAACAAATAGTGACAGGTAAGTTTAAGGGTGTTGGGGAACCAGAACTTGGGCCCAGGGATGCAGGTCCCAGGACCTGGATTCTGGTCCTCCTTGGATGTGCAACTTCTTTGATTCACATTTTGTCCGCCAATCAAAGGCAAAAATACGTCCAATGCTTTGGTCAGGTCAGCTGACTGAAGCATTGTGCTAAATTTCATAAAAATCCAGCACTCTTCCACTCCCAAAACTCAGTCCTTAAATTCAGCTGTAACAGTAAACTTCCTCCAAATATTCCAACCCCAATTCTTCAGATTGAATTATTGCACCCTAAATTTGTGTGCACAAATTTATTGTCTTCATTGAATGTGTGTTGCATAATTGCATTTATTGTGATGTATCAATTTTTGTATTGTGTTTGATTGTGATTTATTGTGGACTGTGATTAAACCAGACAAAACTAGGGATATGTAATTAATGTACCCCCTTAATTACATATTCCTGGCTGCAAACTGGCAGATTGCCCTGCCTTGTTATTTCCCACCTTTTCTTCCACTGTGCTATGGTTCAATTCTTTATGTTGGGTTGATTAATTCCTCAGCAAAGGGGATTACAATGGGCTGACAGCAGGCTGTTTGACTCACTGGCTGACCCAAAAAAAAAGAGGGGAACACAAGCAGAAAGACAGCAGGCTGCAGCATTTGCTAACTTTAAAGCACACAAGCATTCCAGCCAGCTTGGGTTAGTGAAGCAGCAAGAGAAAGAAAGGAAAAGAGTGGAAGAGAGCATTTTCCAAAGTTTTCAATCACGCCATTTTGAAACAAGTTACAAAATTGTACAGCCTAATTTTAACATCACATGATTCCTAAGAATACTTCTGTTCATTTTCATTCTCACGAAGAACAAAATATGTATAAAGTGCATTGAAAAATTCAAGGACCAATAAAGTATTTTGCTTGATATGAGACACCTAAAGTAAACTAAACTGAGAACAATCAGAAAGCAGCTTCAAACCTGGAGCAAAGTCAAATCTATAATGATATTTGAATCTTAATGTGTGAGGTTAACAATATTTTGAAAACCTTCTGGCATCTGTCAACATTTTTTGAGAGCTCGAATTCCAGAGGATGCAGAAGTATTTTAATTGCAACAGATATACAAAGTATTGGCTATAAAATTCATACTGATTTTCTCTTGAATTAAATTTATACCATTCTTTTAATTTTCTGTTCTGATGTTACAGAAATTTCAGTGTGTGCTGTTGTGGCATTCATTTTCAAGTTGCCTGGTTGTTTGAATTTCCAAAATGTTGACAGCACACCACACTCAAAATGAGCAGATACATAACAATCCCTTATTCAGTTCTTGCCGCTGAATCATATAGATTTTTCATTTACTGCTTTGTGCTAATAAATACGCATGTACTCCTTCTACAACAATCTTGTCTAAAAATGTATTTGTGCAATGAATTTATTTTCAGTCACATACCCATATGGTTCTTTATATAGGGCTTTCCTGAGGGTTCCTCATATTATAGGGGTTCTCTACAACAAAAATCTCTCTACAATAATTCTTGAGGATACTTTCTCTGAGAGAAGATATACAAAGTATTGCATGGGGTCATGGGTCCATTGGATCCCAGACAAAGGAATTTAATTGTGCAGCCATCAGAATGCAAGTTTTGAATAAGAATGCAAACTCTTTTCAGAGGAGTTCATTCTCATTGCCCAGTTCATCAATTGGCTGTTAATTCAATGGTTGTAATGGCAGAGTCAATTTAAGATTGATTGGTTAGCTCAAAATAATGAATGAGGCAATTAAAGTTAAAAGGCCCTTTAACACTAGGTTCTGACTTCTCCTCTCAAAGAGGAATGAGGGTTTTTATACCCAGGTGCTTTGACTGGGTCAGAAAGAAATCAGGTGATTTCTTCCTGGCTCAGGATTGGCTGATTTAGTAAAATTGAAGAAGTGATGACCACTTCATGTCCTTGAGTGAGGCTCAGTGAGTCTGGCAAAAATTGGATTTTTGCAAGGCTCACTGGCCTTGAGATTGAACAAGTTTTTGGGTCCTGTTTCAACCGGATGCTGGAGCTGCATCGCTTTGGGCCACGACACATGGTATGTCAGATGCGGATATTGATTCTGCAGAGAAGAATTGATTGACACACAAGGGAAGAAGAAGTTGCATGTTTCATTAAGAGATTTTTTATTGCCACACAGCTGAAAAGCAAGGCCCATGCAGTAAAGACAACATACAGCAATTCATGAGAACCTATATAAGGATGATGCTCAACAGAAACTCCTAAACTCAGCACATGCTCTCTGTGTTTCCAAGAATGGCTCATTATTTTAGATCTGAAAGCAGTCAAGAAAATCTCAACCCTGACATACTGTATACACAAGAACATGAAGGCATGAAGTAAAAGTGAGTAGATTCCTTCAACTGGCTGAAACAAGGAAGACCATTGTATTTTTTTGCCAAGTTTCAAAGTTTTTCAAAATTCTTCAAGGACAGAATCTATTCAAGAAAAAACTTCTTCAAATGACTGTTTTCATAATTACAGTATTGTGCTTCTGATATGACTTGTCGTGTGTAAAAAAAAAAAAGCGGTGCTTGCAATTAATCCCTGCATATGGCTCTGCTCGATTTTTCTGCGATTGATAAATTGTTAATTATCAATCAATTGTCCTGTGCATTCCCTCAAGGTGTATATAACAAGTATATAGGTGTCTCATTAGTTCAGGTTCGCTTGAACTTCCCTATAGCCGTTGGGATTCATCAGCTTCCACTTCCAGAAATCTTTGCCTGTAAATAGAAGGCAAAATTCGAAATTGAATGTTTTGTTCAAAGCAGCGTCAGAGGGGTGTCTGATTTTCCGCGCAGGATCACATCATGTGTCATACAATATGCATTACCTTCAAATAAGGATTTGTAAATAATAATAAAAGTTAATTAATCATAGACATGTACTAAATACTGGATCTGTTGGCAGAATTTCCTGTTCTTTAGGGTTCTATTTTCCACCAATCCAAATAAGTTTCTGTATCAGCTAGGATGAATCTTCTTCTAAGAAAAATTTTGTTACAAAAAATTATTCATTAAGAATAATATGTTTATTGAAGGTTCTGGTGGACATACAGTATTATTCAAATCTTCTTGGGTTTGTTGCAAGGTTAATTTCTTACATTTTAACCCCAATGCAGTTCAAATCTCCCTAAGTCAAATACAGTACCTCCATATGTTTTTTAAGTACCTCTCTGAATTCTCTGCTTATCAGAATCAATGCACAATAAACCCCTTAACTCAAAGGCTGTGTAACCTTCAAACCTCAAAAAACATAATTTTCTGGAAGCCTTTTTGCTATTATTTTATTTACACAGGGAAGAGAAAGGCAAGCGAAGTGTAACTTATTGATCTGTTTTGAAAAGAAGTGAAAGATTCATTGGGCAAGTGAACTCTTGCCTCCAACTTTAGCATCCTATCAACTCATTTAAAAAGCAATTTAAGGCCCAGAATATCAACAATTACAATTCCTGTAGTTCCTCTTTCTTCCTCCTCAACAATTATACTGTACTTGTTCCCTATTAATACTGTAACTGGAAACCTTCCTAACAGGAATTTTTTCTGTTCTCATATTGAAGAAATTCGATTAAGACAGAGTTTTTCCAGTTGAAACTTTGGATGATGATGGGTGGAAAAAAGCTGTGAAGAATCCATGTTATTTTTTACAAGTATACAGACCAAAAATCCGGACCTCAGTATAATCTAGAATTTCTATATACTGTGATTTGAACTTTCCAATTTTGATCACTAATTACTCTGGGGAAAAATTGGAAATTTGGAATGCAATTTTGCGGAAAACATCACACAAACATGCATTATTCTTGGATTGCATTGGCTGCTTGCATTCGAAAGAAACGTTGAATATAATTACACATTTGTACTGGATCAGTGCACTTGGGCACATAATCCAATTCTGCCATGGCCCTTCCTGGATCAGCCATGACTTTCGGGGCGTCTATATTGAAAGGACGCCTTTCAACCACCGCAGTTTTGATCTTGCGTCCACTGGCTTCTTCAAAAGCATCAATTATTTCTTTCACCGATAGTCCTTTCCCAATTCCAAGGTTATACGCCTGAGGGCAAAAAAAAGATCAAGTTCGTTTAATGTGTAGTCATAATAAGAAACCAGAAATTATCTCTTCCCATCATAATATTTTAAGGCATGAGGAGGATTTTAGGGTACTAATGCTCACGTCTTGGAATTTATTATTAAATTTCGACTCCAGAAACTCAAATTCAACGCATACCATCACACAATTTACAAGGTCTCCCATTCCGCACCTTTCGATGGAAAATTTATGTTGATCCATCACAAGGAGACACTATACGGTATAAACCGATTCTTTTCGCACATTTCACACAAAAAAAGCTCGAGTTGTCTCAGAAAATACGAATAAAGAACAAATTAGCACTCCGTTTCAAATGTCGAGGTTTCAGTGTAGAATCCTTACCCAGATGAATTTATTTTTCATTAAAATACAGACTACGATGATATCATTGTATTTTTTTTTATCAACAAGAGTGCACGCAGAATATATGTACAATATAATAATGATGATTATAAACAAAAGCAATTGACGCACCCGCCAGCCAACTCGCTCATTTTCCAGCTTTTTCATTGCCAAAACGTGACCCTCTGCCAAATCCATGATGTGTGTATAATCCCGAATACCTGCCAAATACGATACGAAGTTTTATTCGACAAAATAAATCCTCCAGCGGTTTCTTTACGAGCCAAAATTAAACTTTCGTTTGATGATTATCAAGTATTCGCAAGTACTAATAATTGCGAACATTCCAGGACATTTTTTCAAACTTATCGGACAACATCGAGCTTCTTAAAACGTTTTGCTAGTTCCTCATTATTTTAGGCCGGAAAAAATGTATTATTGTCAAATTTATATTTATTAAATAGGAATTACTCACAAGTGCCATCGGGTGTGTCGTAATCGTCTCCAAAAACGGTGAATTTTTCTGCATGTCCAATGGCTACTTCGCCGAGAAAAGGGACAATATTTGCGTTGATTTTCTTGGGGTCTTCGCCCATTTCTCCAGATGGATGTGCTCCGATGGGATTGAAGTATCTCAAGCTAATCATGTTGAATTCCTGGAAAAAAATCGTACGATGAAAAAAAATTTGTCTCTAGCATGAAGAGGGAAGTTTAATATCAAACGACAAATTTCGGCTTTTTTTATTTTGGAAAAATTCTGAGATATTTTTAGGACACAGGCATTTCAACATACCTCTGGAAACTGGGTTTAATCTGCATGGAAGTCAAGGCATACAAAAAAAATGTTTTCCACAAATGTTTAGCGTTCAATTATCATTATATCTTGTTCTATTCAAGTTTTGAGGACGTGCAATTGGAAAAAACATTTCATCAATTTAATATACAGTATTTTAAACGGACACACACATTTTAGCACAACCTAGAAAAAAGGTTGAATCTGCATTAGGAAAGGCATCCAAAAATGTTTTCCAAGTCACATTGGACCTCATTTCCTTCCAGTTTTGAGGACTTGCATCAATAGAAAAAACATTTCATCAATTTAATATAGTTTTTATAAGGACGCATACATTTTAGCACATCTATAGGAAAGGGGGTTAAATTTGCATGAAGAAAGGCGTACAAGAAATATGTTTTCCAAATCGTGTTATAGCGTTCAGTTAGCCCTCGAACTTTGTTTATTCCCGTTTTCAGAACATATTGCGATTTGAAAAATATGTCATCAATGAAATACTTTTTTTTGGCGATTAAGGAAATCAAGAATCAAGTTAGTAAATACCGGATGAGCTTGAACAACATCCTGCATGATTTCTTCGCAGTACAACTTGGTTCGGCCATACGGATTTTTCACACTTCCGACGACCTCTTCCTCAGAAACTGGGATTTTTTCGGGATGTCCGTAAACTGTGCAAGAACCGGAGAAGACCAGATTCTGCACCTTGTGTTCTTTCATCGCCTGTGAGAATCAAAGTTTTCATCACCTTTGAAAAGTTTCGTTTGAAGCCTTTTCCAAATTTTTCGACTTCCTCAATTTTAATTTTTACTGAGCGGAACCTCTTATTTTGGCGAACGAGAAAATACAGTATATAAATACGTCATGTTATTATCAATTATCGTATTGGAAAGAAATAACGCTTCGAAGAAACAATCGCTCCATGGAAGAAAGAGTGTAACAGGTATATTGCTCATATAGTCAAGAAGCGTTTGCATTTTTACTACTTTATTTTCACTGCCCGATAGAAAATTTAATCTTTAATCCTCCTTTGTAGAATATGGAAAATTTCAAACACTCAAAAACATAGCTATACACGCTGTCAATTATGCTGGCATATAAATTGAATTCCACCCGATATAATGAATATCTTCTAGGAAACGTTTGAATCGCTGGCATTTGTACAGTGTGAGATATACAGCACAGTAAATTTTTCAATTTTGCATACCTCAAGCAGGTTCAGCATTCCCAACAGGTTTAACCACATTATAAGGTCACCAAACATTCGTCTAAGTCAGTGTAAAAACTTTCGTCGCTTCACCTAGTGACTTAGTTGCAGTACGACTTTTTGTTTAAAGCAAGCTAAGGTATTTTATAACATGTTAATTTACAAAAAAATGCCTATTTTCCATGAACATATTTTGGTATCACTCCGATAGGCGGCGGATTAAAAGATTGTGGCCGACCCTCAATTTATGTGGCTGACGCGTGTTTTGATGAAAATGACTGCTGCTGCTTACAAAATTGAAATGAATTGATCAATAATTTGGAGCCCCGTATTATTTTTACTCAGTGCCGTTCTGCAATTTGTTTCGCGGAAGCTTATTTTCATTTAAAATATAGAACTCTGCAAAAAACTCTTGGCCGTTTTCCGAGCATAGCACACTGGTTTAGCGTATTGTGGCAGCGCAATGAACAGCATTCACTTTCAACTGTTCAGGTTTTACACTCACTCAAATTTCTCGAATCATCTGATGATGAGACGATATACGATCTCACCAAAATCCTATAGGATGTCAGGTTATTTACTATGGAACAGTTTCTGCAGTAAGTCACGAAAGTTTAGGTCGTTCAGGTGGAACACTTTCCGGTGACCAAAGGGACAGTTAAAGAGGTGAGCAACCTCCCGGTTCCTCACGAGGAGCAGCGGTGTACCGAAGCTATTGGAAAAGTTATCCACGGCCACTACGCTGTATCCGTGCTGCAACTCTCGATCCCGTGTTACTGACGGCTACTTAGGGCGTGGTGGTCACTGGTTTTGCCAAAATCAACTTAAGAGGTAGACAAAAAACAAAGAACTTGCAATTGCTTTGCTCGCCGATTTAAACTTTAGCTTAAGAATAACACTCGGGAAATTAATGCTCAGAGAAGAATAGCGCGTGATTCTCGTAAAAAAATATGTCGTCTCTCGTCTTCACGTATATATAAAATGACGTCGGGGATTTTTTCGCAAGTATTTTTGACAACGTCACTCTCGATGCAGCATTCACCTCTGTTCTTAAAATATCAGCAAGACATGAAAGTACGTGAAAGTAGAAAATCGCAATGATGGAAACGCGCGAAGTCGAAAGGTCGTGCACGATATAGACGAATGATGACGTCGCGGGAAGCGACGAAGCACACGCGGAATCAGAACCATTCTTCATATTTTTTGTGCAAATTTCCTAATATACTGTAATCCAATTCAACATGCATTGGAAAGCCGCAATTATCAATTTAATCTACAGCAGTGTCCCCCAGCAACCTATGTGGTCTGCAGGAAATTTTTCTCAGCATAATAAATTTATCACATACTGTACATATGAAGTATGTTATCTTTAACTGAAATTTCAGAAAGACAATGGCAGTTGAAATTATCTGATGAAAATTAAAATTCTTATTTTTTCCTATAGAGTATATTATAACACTTTTCCAAATTTTTCCCTGCTGTAAAAATTTTCTTGCAATTTTTTCATTCTGAGAAATCATTCTTCAACCCCACGTTTCTAATTTTTAAAGACATGCAACTACTGTATTACATAGCTGCATGCTTTATGTGTTCTTGACGCAATTTGTTCCAAAAAGCTTAAGCTTTTTAATTATGTGCCATGAAGTCTTTCAAGCAAAACTTTTTTGAGAATGTAAAAATGCATGCAACATTTTATGAAACTGCTGGTCTTCAGAAAATGTTTTAGAAATTCCCTGACTGCCAGAAAATGTTAAGGAAATTATTGTCGGTCCATGGGCCCAAAAAGGTTGGGAACACTATTTAAAATACTGCACTACATATACCAACCATTTTTAGAAGAACATTCCCCAATAAACCACAACTGTGTTTCAGTTTTACAGCATGCGGTGTGCAGAAATATAAAATGCAGTAAAAAGTCACTTACCTCTTCAAATGAAACTCTTGGAAATCTTCTTTCTTTTTAAGTTGCCTTATGGAATTTTGGGTTAAATGAGGAACCAGCATTTTTGCTTCTAGAACAAATTTACATGAAAGGATGCAATTTGGGATGTTTTGGTGCTCAAACTGCTACAGATCCATGAGTTGACAAACTATTGGAGGCAAGGGACCAAGGGTACATTAACTCAATTATTATCTCTCACTTCCTTCTTTGCATCAAGTTATACTGTTTACAAAAATTTAATTTCTCTTCTCCTTCCTGCATCCTCAAAATGATGATCCAAAGGTCTCACTAAGTTTGAGTTGTAAACGTTTGAGGAGAAAGCATTGAAGTTAAGATATACAGTATGTACATATTAAATTGTTCTTTTGGGGGATTTCAGACAATGACTTGTTATCCTAATATCTCAAAAATGTTGTTATAAAGAGATTTCTTCAAGCTACAGCTAACCTTAAGAAAAAACAAACCACAACATCTTGTAGCAAGTTTACTATACACTGGCCTTGTAGCTCAGGTAACAGTACTTGGCCTCATTAGTTTACATAGGTTTTCTTTAGTGAGTTAGGATTTTAAAGAAATGATCAAGTGAAACTAGAGCATTCAGGGTAGGCACTGTATTAACAACACACTGCAAAAGCTGTTTGTACAGTCTCTCAAACGCGAATGCTGTCAAGTTGTAGGATGGTAAACAACTTTAAAGGGAATAGAATATGGGCTGGCAGCAGGTTATTCCACTTGCTGACTGATCCATAAAAAAAAAGAGAGGGAATGCAGGCAGAGAGACAGCAATGTGCAGCTCACTGCACTGCACAGGAGTATAAGCCACATGCACATTACAAATTCTCCCCCCAGCATGAGCTGGTGCAACAGCACAAAAACAAAAGGGAAAGAGCAGCTCAGGCAGGGGAGCCAGCTTCAGCTGGTTTCCCAAATTCATCAGTAACAGACTGAACAAAAATTTGACACAGGCAGGTTATTGACTCCATGAGTAGATTTGACTTGGCAAGGTATCCAACTGAATTATAGTTTGCTGATCTGTTTAAAACTTCAAAACATCTAGTAGAAATAACGCATTGGAAACCATTGAGATTATGCACAGCAGTAGCGTAGTTCAAGGCACCATAACTGTATTCATAAAAAAAATTTTTGAACCCATGAAGCACAGGTACAGCATTTTAGCTTAGCTTCAAACGACAAGTTTAGTATTCCGACATTCCTTTCTTTCTAACAATTTTTCCTCGAATAATTCACAAAACAGAGATCCCAAAAAGATTTTCTCTAATAAATTTATAGCCGAATTCTTCCGCCCTTCAAGACTTATACTTCTCTGTGTTCCCACAGCTGGATTTGGAATCCAAGAACTGAGAAGACATGAATGAAGCCTCCATTGTGCGAAGAAAATCATTGTGTGCAGTTGAAAATCTTGTCAACTATGATGATACCGAAACACTTTGCATTGGAATCCAATGATGCACTGTACCTCTGTGTCTGTGTGCACGGCAAAACGGAAGTGTGACTCAAACGAAGCTGGATGAAATGCTGCAGAATTTTTCCAGCAAAACGCAATGCCTTCATTTCATCCAAAAACGGAAATATTGCGGGACGGAATCAACCAGCAATCTTGTACGATGATGCCTTCACAGAAATTTCGAGTGGAACACAATGAATATTCGGACGAGAAGTCACCATCATCCAATATATAGATGAATAAAAATCACAAAACTACTTGAACACAATATGCGCGGAAATTAGTTCAACGATAAGAGATCAACCATCTTCCGTCGACTGAGGCAGCTTCTCAAGCCAGTCCCTCACTTGCTTGAATCCCTGACAAGTGCGCGACGAAGTCTCGAGAACTTCAAATTCTTGAGTTGATTCTCGGATGATGTCATGAAGCCGCATGGTATACTTGATCTCTTCCAATGACATCTGCCCAATCAAGTCACGTTTGTTCATCAAAATCAACACCTGTAGATTTAAAAAGGCCAAGGAATTACGGCTTCGAGTTCTCCACGACGCTTGAAAATACATGACCATGGTAAACACATGAAAATATGGTGAATTTTTGCGCAAATCCGACAAGGAGGTTACACTTCAGTCTTATTTCTGAACATTTTCAAAAACAGAATCTAGTCGAGGAGAAATTAAGAAAGAATGACTTTATTCCCTAAATACTCAAAAAAGAATGACGTATATCCACTTTGATACGACACGTATTCTCAAACAAACAATCCGTACCAAAAATAAGTCTGCTATCCACGCCGTGTAAGCTAGCAAATTGTTATCAAGTTGAATACAAAGTGGAAAGAGATTTTATCTCAGAATAGTTCTGGCACTACAGTACTGTATTCGAAAATATTTGCATGAAAATCTTAGTTGATCTCTTATCTCAGGAGTGACGATTTTGCCCTGATAAAGGGATTCAGCCATCAACTTCCCTTACACGAATCAATGACAGGGGATTTCTAAAAGGGGATAATCCGCTAGGTTTTATCTGGCCCAACATTAAACTCAATCCAACATACTTATGTCACACGGATAAATTTACCTTCTTTTTTTGAGTCCCGGGATGACGAAGAAAATCCATCAAACACACGAAGTTTGTGGCAATTTGACCTGGATTCACACCGTCTATCACGAAAATGAAGGCGGTCGATGAGGCATAATAAGTTGGCCAGGTCTCCATCAATGCTGCTCCGATCTCCTTGATTCCGTACTGAAATTTGAACGCAGCGTAAGTCGCAAAAATTTTATTTTCTTGACAAGGCAAAAAAAAAATCACCGTGCGTTTCTCCAGTAAAATTTCAGCACGATTCACTCCAACCGTTGGTATAGGCGATAAATCTTGGTCTGGATCTTCGAGTTTCCTTAAAAACATCGTCTTTCCGGAGGCACGCGGACCAATGCATAAAATCCGCGACACTGTTGGTTTTATTTTCTTGCTCATTTTTGCATGCGTCTATATTCATGGAACAACATTTAACACGATACGCATTGCATTTACTGCAATAAAATATTGATAAATAATAAGGAACATCGCTTGAAAGAACGCATCTACCCCCCACTGCATTACCAAAAACCATCACCACAAATGCGAAACAGCCTCCGTTACAGAACCGAAAATATCAGGAACCACACACATACAAAGAAACGTTGCACAAACTTCATTGAAAAAAAAAATGCACAGAAAATCAAGGATAAATCAAAACTTACCCAAAAGGATTAGGGTACGGAATCGCAATAATTTTCGTCGAACACGTTTTTGAACCGATGCATGAAAAAGATGAATTGTGAAACGGTTCGAAAATGAATGTCGAACAATCGGGATCACTCTTGCCGTCGATCTTGTTTAATGATTACTAAAATCTGTACTTCGTTTCATGCCAGAATACTACGCAAGCTGAAATTTGCGAACAAAGTGCATGACCCATTAGCCGGATTACTTCTCAGTACCAAATATATAACAGCGGACAATTCGTGGCAAATACTGAACAAGCATTTGAAAATCGTCCAGAAAAATCTAGGGTACTTCTCTCTCGAAAAAAAAAAATGCAATGCTTCTCCAATTCAATGGCACTTATATCTGATATTTTTTTCGTCCTGAACCATTATGGCACCATTTATTATCTATTTCAAGGCATAATATACAAGGCAAGATCATTCATTTCCAGGTAAAAGGCACATGCTCTCCTTCACAACTAAGAAAAGCAGCTACTGCAATAAAATGAAATAGGAACTGATTCAGTACATGAGCTATGGTCTACTGACTCTACTCTATCGGACCTATGGTTTTGGTAATCCTGGAAAGTCTAGCGCTGATGCTGGGAAATTTCTAAAAATTCCAAGCGTAAGAAATTTACCTTATTACAGTATCATATCACTATCAATCACACACTCATGTAAAAAAATAGAATAGAATACGCGACCAAAATGTCAAACCATCCCTTGGAAAGAAACGTAACATTTCCAATTGGAAAAATACACAAGGCACACAACGGATCTGCACCATAACATTCTGTTGCACATGAGCAAATGGTTTCAACCTGTGAAAGTGTTGAATATTGCGGAGCTTACAACCACTCACGAGCCTTTTTTAAAACAGCTGTCAAACGTCCTTCAGGCGACTCTTCTTCAGGCTCATGCATGTATTCCCACTGAGCCAACAACGGCAAAGACATTAAGATGCTCTCAATCCTTGCACCAGGGGTACACAGTCCGAATTTTGTCCCTCTGTCGTAAACCAAGTTGAATTCCACATACCGTCCACGTCTCAATAATTGCCATCTATAAAAAATTGAATTGAAAATACACCACTGAAGGAGAACGCGCAAGATTCACGATTAGCTATTCTCAAAAATTTTAGGATGTCCCTCATCATTTACAAGATGCCAAAGAAGACAGATCTAAGCTAAACCAACTACTGTACACTCTTTTATTCTACATCCGAATGACCTTCTTGCAAACTATAACATGTCAAGGCAAGATTTTATCTGCTTATGCATACCACGTTCTCTTCTGAGTGGTTTACGACGGAAACGGATTTACACCAGAAAAGAATAGGAAATAATTAAGGATATACAGAAGAAATTACTAAGTCAATAACAAATTAATAGGCCAAGCTCGAAATGTTTCGACTCTGACAAATAAGATTTTTTTCATAAATTTCCAAATAATATGCCCTCAGTAAAGCTTAAAAAAAGTATTCAAGAAAACGAAAATCCACAAAAACACTGCCTCATCTATAACAGGACGTACACTGAAATCGGTGAAAATCCTTTCGAAGAGACCTGAAATACCAAAGCTCATGCTGATACAGCGCGAATCTGTCATAACTTTATTTCAACAAGTTTCATGAATCCGAGATCCGAAAAAAATTATCATAATCTGATAATTAACATAATCTAACCTCCGGTGCTCATCAGAGAATGCGTCATCCTTGTGAGCTTCGACTAAAGGCACGTAAGAAGGGATCACCGACTCCGCACAGGACTGGACAAAATCGAAGCAAGCCTCTTCATTCGGAGTGTCGAGGTCGTCAAAGAAAATGCCTCCAATGCCACGAGATTCCCCGCGATGCGGCAGGAAAAAGTACTCGTCGCACCATTGCTTGAAACGCGGATAATAGGAAGCGTCGTGTTGGTCACAGGCCGTCTTCAGTGCAGCATGAAACACTTTTCCGTCGGATTCATTCAGGTAATACGGCGTCAAATCGGTTCCACCGCCAAACCACCATACTCGTTCGGCATTTCCATCCCGCAGCACCTCGACTTCGAAATACCTGGAAAAGAAATCAGCAGTGCTCATATTCTCTGATACATACGGCAGTTTTCATTTTTATTTTTTCCACGAGTTGCTCGGCTAACTTCGAACAGCGGAACAGCTGAGATTATGATCGAGTATAAGTGAGACCCCAACATGCGGACACCTTGACATTTGGACAATTCGACATAGGGACACTTATTCTCCCTTGGAAAATTAATTTAAAAGGCCCAACATGAGGACACTGACTGACTGACTTGACTAAGGGTCATTTTGTGATAAAATTGCAAATACATTTCAGGTCAAATTTATCAACAGATATTCCAACCCTAAAATTGATGCAAGAAACGTTTTTGAGCATTTCTCTCACCAATTTACCATGAATTTAGCTATTTTTAAAAAATTACTTCGAGTATAGAGGGACTACCGTCTCTCTTTTTCATTTTAATGTTATTTTTACAGAGAATGCCAACATTTCTATGTACTGCACATAGGTATAAGTATTCAATTCCCGAAATGTCCACATAGTGCTGAAATATATTGATTGAATCAGTTTTAAATTGGGAGACAATTTATATTGTCATGCAATTATAGTGAGTATTTTGTACATAAACACCAGTTAAAAATAATATAATGTAAGTCTAAGGGAAAATGAGACTCAACTTAGGGACATTTTGACAAAGGGACACTATTGATCCACAAATTACGTCCGCATTTCGGGGTCTCACTATACTCATCAGCATCACGGTAAGCTACAAAATTGTCTGCAGCATATCGGAACTTGGTTTCTCTCCTTCTGAGCACTACTTCTGGTCAACATTGTCTAAGTAGCGATGAATAAATTCACACTCATCCCCATCTCATAAGTCGTCATTTGTTTACGACAATCCTCTCTTCGAGGTTTTATATTTTCTGCGAAACAGTGATTACTGGTCATTTTTCTTGATTATTTTTAAAATATTACATCACGTCCCCAGCTCCATAATTTCCCTTATTTTCACAAGTTCACATTCGGATCTCTTGAGTTTTAGTCAAGTTTCTTTAGAAATTAGTACGGTTCGGCAATGTTGGTTCAGTTCACGTTGATAAGTCAAGATTTGGTTGGACTTCGTTCGGATGATGATTTTGAAAGAAAGCGAAGAAGTTCGTGGAAGTGAAAAAAGAATCACTTTCTTTTGAAAGTTAATATTCTCGACGAACTTCGGAAAAATCTGTAGTTCGTTCTCAAAAACTAGCTTGACGTCTAAAGATCGTCGCACAAAGTCTTGGGAAGTCAATAAGACAAGGGAGAAATCTGCGCGTTCTTCATAAGAGCTACCTAACACTCCTTCATGCGATGGTGTTCGTCACTCTGCAGTTCGACCCAAAACTTCGCGATTTTCGATGCAATTTCAATCGACTTCACCCCACAGCGCAGTAGATTAGGCATTTAAATACTTCAGGCTTCGCCGCGAGTTGCAGATCAGGAAAATTTACAGTGAAGAACTCATAAAAGCTGCTTCACCTGTAATTGAAGTGAATGGTGGGCACGAACGGGTTTCTGGGGTGTATCACAGAACTGACCCCAGCTGCAAAAAACGGCAACTTCCCACCTTCATCCGGAAAATTTTTCCCTCTGGATTTCATCTGAGCCACGGCTGGTGGAGGCAAATGTCCATGGACCACAGAAATATTCACACCAGCCTTCTCGAACACGTCACCATCTTGAAGCACGCATGTTATCCCGCCGCCGCCTTCCGGCCGCAACCAACGATCAATTTTGAAGACCTTCTCACTTTCGAAGGACTCCAGGGCACGAACAAAGTCTGCTTGTATTTTACCGATGAGCAGTTCCATTTGAGTTCGAGACGATTTCGGGGATTCGTTGAGCGTGTTCAACGGAGTCACAGATTCAGTGACGAAGTCACTCGTTACGTTTACGCTCAAACTCGGCATCGTGAAACGAAGTTATGCCTTTCTTTCGTAAAATAAATCCAGGAAAACTGCTGAACCTATGAAGAATCGAAAAAAATCATGGAAAAATTGTGTGTGTGGCTGATTCAACAACAGATGTCAAAAAAGGCACCGGTTCAAAGCCGAAGTCCCATCAGTGAAAGATCCCCGTCGTTTCCAAAATGAGAAAATGTTTACTAAAGCTTATGTATTTCACTCAATTTTCGCCGAACGTCACTGTGTACTTCAGCCGTATTAGATAGGAAATACAGGTTTCCTTCAGCACGGTAGACTTTCTGCGAAAAAAACAAACAAAACAATTAAGAATTTGAAGTTGATCAAAAACCCCGAATAAAAAGAACAATCGGGTACATGTACACTATTTTTCTTGCTGAAGCTGGCGGTATTTTCAAGTTTTACGAGCCAGCCCTACAAACAATACCTAAAATGATTGGCTCAATCATGCGCCAGAAGGACGTAATCTTACACCAAAACAATCAAACCTCACCGAACACACAACAAATCTCGGGTAAAAGAATCACGCGAAGTTTTTATATCATTTTCCATTCGATTTCAGAGAAGAGATAAGCATTCGTCCTCATGGTGATTTGGTATGATTTAAACATGGCGTTCTCTGAAAACAATATAACTGAGCGGAATAATCGCTAGATGTAAATTTTAAGGAAAAACAGTACTTTTACCCCCATGATCAGGGCATATTTAACCCAATCTTTTGCAAAGGAACTCCGCACGCAATCCAAATTTTATTTCATCGAGTAAAATATCATTAATAAAACAAGCAAAGCAATTTGTATGGCCAGATTATTCTGAGGAATCAAACTTTATGAAAACATTTTCCGACATCATCCATTCATCATTGGTTTACTGCAAGGAATGGAATTACAATAGTAATGCACAGTACTTCCGTAAAATATTTTTTCACGATTTGTGGTTCAGTTTTTACTGAAGTGCGTTCAGAGATGGAACACCTCTTGTACCTTGACCTCGCCAAGCCTGTCCGAACTAGCGTTAGCCACACTGGAAGTCAGCTAACACATAATGACATAACACGCGTAAAATTGCACGGGAATATTTTTCAACAACAAAAACGTCGGTTTTGTTTAGCTTTAACTTGAGGGAATGGCTCAAGGGATACTCAACAGCCAACGATTCAACATCAGGCTTTCCATGCCAGCTTGAAATTAAACATATACTGTACAAGAATTAAGACTTCAAAAATCCACTCACATTTCGAGCAGGTAATTGCTGCAACTCTCGGTCGATGGTCTCCAATTCGCAAATCTGCGGATCGGGAACTTCGTTAAGGAGAGAAAATATATACTTCGAACTCCTACATACCTTCATTAATCTGGCGAGGTGATCGTTATTCGATAACTGGGAAGTTGTGAAATTCATGATGCACACAATGCCCTGAAGAGGGATACTAAAAAAGATAACTCGAAGTATCGCTTTGGTTCCAGACGAGAACAAATTTTTTCAAATGAAGAACGCTACTCCGTGACACTCAAATGACTATTCTTCAAAATATCGCAGATGTACATCACAGACCCGTAGTAATGATAAATAACGCTCAAACACATTTCGAACTAAAACCCTGATTGATTGAAGGCCCGCCATTGACAATATTCTTCAAACGCCCGAATCCAACAAGCTTTTTTCAAGATCGCGGAATGACGAGGATTGAAGAAGTTCTCAGAGTTTCAATACCCCGGTGCAACACGCAGACTCGGGCCAAATCCAGTTTTATGAAGAGTTCCGCAGCCTGAAAGAGCAAAAATCACATTAATCATGTGCACAAACTGATGCTGTTTCAGGGGAACTCATTCTTACCCGAACTGCGCCGGAGTTTCCCCGATTCCCAACAACCACGATAATCTTTCCTCTAGCAGCGAAGAGTACATCAAATTCCGTCGAGGTTGTGACATTCTGCTCGAAATCCAGAACCACTTGCAAAGGTATATTTACGCTACCAGGAACACAGCCTTTCTGAAACCTTGCCAAGATACAAAAATCTTCCTGTTTAAAGACAAAATTTTACAGAACAAATCAATTCTCACTCTTCCTTTGGACGAACGTCCACCGGCAAAACTTTCGTTTTTGGTGATTCTCCAGGCGAAGTGGGAGTTTCTGGAGAACCCATATGCCAATTCAAAAGATCAAGAAGATCTTTCGCCGATATTCGGGGGCACTTCTCCGATTTCAATGAAGCCAATGGCAAGGCATGGATTTCCTGAATATACATAGCATACATAGCAAAAGAATCAATCGCGAAAGAAATGAGCAACCAAATGAACCAGATATTCACGTGCCAAGTCTTCGACTCGACTATCACGAGTCATTCATAGGCGTCATACGGATTTTATAACTCGTCGGCGCTTTTTAACAAGGTTCGGCTAAATAAATTGGGTTATTTAGTAAGGGCTTGAGATTCATGTGCAACCTGCTGACGTTCCAAAAACGCAGGTCAGTTTCTCAACTGGGGAGTACAGTACTGTAATAAAAAAAAGGTGCGCTACTGTCTAAAAGCAAAAAGGGAAACGGACAATTCCCCCGATTCTAATTCCCCCGCCTCTATTCCCCCGCTCTAAAATCCCCGATCCTAAAATCCCCGACGTTTATTCCCCCCGGTGTCTAATTGCCCCGAAATAAAAATCCCCATTTACTAAAATCCCCGAAAATGCAAAAACGACCATGCGATTTTTTCAACTCACCAGTTCTCTTGAAAGATTTAGTTTATCGCTTGCAGACGCACTATGGACCATGTCTGGCAGATCATCCACCAAATGTTCCCCGATCACTTTGAACGAAATCTTAGCTTCATGAGAACGGTGCAATACGCTTGGAGGAGTGCTTCGAAAAAATCTGATCGAGTCCTGCACGCATCTCTCTATGTCAATTTCTGGAAAATATGAAAAATTCTTACAACGTCCCAGCGAAATGCAAGCCGCTCATTAGCATCCACCAAAATAGCAACACCAAGGCTTTCCGCTTGAGGATTATATTGTAACTTGAGTTGGCTCTGCCTTTGAGAAACCTAACTAAAGTATTCAAATAATCGAACTTATTTAATTCCATTCCATCAAATCAAAACGTACGTGGCATATCAGAAAAGAGCAAGATGCAGTCGTTGAAGCTGAACGACAGCAAGGAATCCCTCAACTGATGCAATAAACCGACTCCCACGCAAAGAGGAAATGACGGCGGGCCCAGCAGCAACTTGTCCCACAGGTGCAGAATTTTCGGCAACGGAAATACATCTGCCAAGATTATTTTTACATCAATCCCACAATGTCTTTAATTTTTTCAATTGTATATGCTTTAAATTGCGAATTACAGTAATTATATACCCTGGATAAAAGCTTGCTTACCACGTACTTCAGGAGCATGATTTCTAGAAGTTCCGAATAAGAACTACGTACATACAGTTCTCCGAATTCAGGTATTAGAGACTCATTAGCTGATGTCTTGACACATTAAATACAACATTCGGTATCCACCCAAAAATTTGATAAATGAATCGTAAAATGAAACTCAGCTGAATATGGGAAATTTAATCAATGGAGAAAAATACTCACGCGTGTACATGGTAAGAAACCACGGGATTGCATACAACTCAGGAATAAACCCAATTTCATCCAGATGGTTGAATAGTTGGGGATCATGGAAGGCTATCAAATGTGAGAACGTAGCCAGGTATTCTTGAATGACTGGCGAGTTATCCTTGAGAAAGAATCCCGCCAGGTACTTGTCAATAAATTTTGACAGGCAAGCGAAGGCTAGAGCTGTAAAGTGGCACATAAACATGTAAATTACTGAATAAGTCCAGAAGATTTCATTAAACTTCACTTCAGATAGATTAGCTATGAAGTAAGGATGATTTAAAAAACGGTCCTACTGCACAAAGGAAATCCTTGGTCCAAATGACTAACCTTCATCACAGAAATTTAGTCTCAAAAATGGCGCACAGAGAGAATCCAATCCTTGCCAATACACGTACTGGGGATGAGACGCAACCCATGCTTTTAAAATTCTCTTGAACTTCTGATGCCCAGTGGGTGACGCCAGAAGTTCGTCATACTGATGACACCTCGGTATGTCCACTTCGATCTGCAAAAAAATAAAAAATGATGAACAAAATTTCGTTAAGAAAATACGGAACCTATAAAAAACAGAATCACTTTACAATCCAACGAACTTGGGATTTATCATAGCAGGTCATGCCTAATGGCGCACATACTTGTCTGTCAGTCGCTGTAGGAGTTTCTTTGTCAACAGCTTCGTAATCAGCTTCAACATCAGATATCACATCCAACAATGACGCCCATACTTCGGCTCGATAAAACGGAGAAATGTCGTTCCTGGCTTCTTTTAATATAATGCTTCTTGTAAACGGGTATCCCTGGAATCGAACGAGGGCTCAATTTAGTACTGTAACAAGATTTTACAATCAGGAGACAACACGATATATTATATAAGCCAACAAAATAATACCTCCAGAAGTCGTTTGAAAACCAACATACGATGCAACTGATATTCCACGTCTTTTTCTCTGATAACCAGAGGAAGTTTAACGGCTTCTTTCGAACTCTCCGAGAATGGGCCATCGCTCTTCTCACTTTAGAACGGAGAAAACTATCTCCAGAAGTTTTCTGAATATAACCTGAACTTCCAATAACTCACATTTCATCCAATAATGGATAATACGATCTTGGGGACAGATTCTGCAACCGCGAACGCAATTGATCCAAGCTGAGCTCAACTAAAGCTTTGTTGTACGCACGATTTTTGTCTCGTTCCATGCCGAACATTTCGCCTTCCAACAAACCCAGCCTGAAGAAAAATCAACACCTTCCTTTACCACCATATATAGAACACTTCGAAACCAAAAACGAAAGTTCACATCCTCTACAAAATTGCTTCGAAAATTCCCAAACCGATTTCTCGAAGGAAAAAAATCCTACCGCATTCCCTCGAAAATGTTGCCCGACAGCATATAATTCCAGGAACAATTTTCAGCAGCCTCTCGTCAAAAAATGCCTCCAAAAATCAGAATCAATCTAAATCAACAGGCTCTCTTTGGATGGAGGGTTTTTTGCATTCGGATTTTAATTAAATGCGTGAGAGAGTATGGGTACATGAAAGTGATGCAGAAGCAATTTTGCGTTTCAGCTTGATGTCAGTTTTTACTACGATACTAAAATACAAAACAATTTTGCTCTTCAAAAATCGGACCATATTTCTCCAGTTCCACTTCCACCGAAGAACATTTCCTAAAAATAAGCATAGGTCCAGAACTTGCTTCCTCACCTTGGAAGACACAAAATGGGCGGTTTCGTCCGTATGAGACCAACTTTGCGAAATTCGGTGTCCAGGTCACCTCCAGCCAACTGCCACAAGAAAAAAACTTCCTTGGGGGATTGTTGTAGTAGATGTTTGCTCGAATTTGAATCCAAGTTTTCAACGTCAGAAGCATTTTTTTGAAGTATTGAGCGCCATATTGCAGCGATTTCTTCCCCGACTTCACCGAAACAATTCCAAAATGATAATGTAGAAGTATCTGCATTGCCCACAGCCTCCAGGTGAATTGGAAGGAAATGACGTCCCTGAGACCTCATGGTTTTAGCTGATGATCGTACGGTAAGACGTCTGAAGTCGGTAAATATTGCATGGTTTGCAAGTTCTTGAACTTCCGCGCGGAAATTCGGATGGATGACCAAACACTGTCGCAAAAATGACTTGATTTCGTCGCTCCATTCCTACGAGAAAAATGTCGAACCCAATGAAGCAGCATCACACTACCAAATTCAAATGGAAAAAATTACCCATTAGTAGATTTGTCACTCAATTGTTTTAGGAGACTAAAATTACAGAGGCATAAATAGGAACTTCGTCGGAATTATTTTCTTATAAATGCTCGCTTTCAAAATTATCCAATTCCAAACGAAATCATTTCAGAACTCACCTCTATATATCTATCCAGGCCTGCTGCACGGACGAGTTCATCAAGTACATCGGTTTGGGATTTCATACGACTGCTGGAATTTAACCAGGCTATTTCAACGACTTTGAACAAGTTGATGCAAAAGGCATCAGCGCTGAGTTCAGGCCATAGTCTTCTCCCAGTTAATATCTCCAAACTCAGCATGCCGATGATCCAAGCGTCGCAAGCGGTATTCGCCAGATAAGCATAAGAAGGATCGCATGGTTTGTGAGACATGCTCAGGACTTCTGGGGCGAAATACTCGATATTTCTGCACAACAAAAAACGGAAATTTGCAACGTTATACAGTATGACTATCCTTCAGAAGGAATCATAAATCCAAATTAAGAAATTACCCGATAGGAAATGACACCAAGCAACCAGAATCTGTCAAATGGAACAGACCGAAGTCAAATAATTTCACATTTCCTCGGGCATCTAACATGATGTTGGAGAGTCGTAGATTCCGATGGAGTATTCCTTGCGATCGCAAATATGCCACGGCATCGACAATATCGTATAGGATTTTCAACTTCACCTTCATTGGAGTCGCTTCGAAGATTTCGGCGTCGAAACATTCTTGCAACGTTGCCGAAAACGTTTCAGTCACACACATCAGTCGCTCTAGGAGGAAAGGTTCCGAAAATGACAAAATCTCGGATTTAAATTTGTGAAAATTCTGAACTTACCATGTTTACCACGTTCCATGTGAACATAACGGCATAAATTTGGGTGACTCAGGTTTCTCAGTACTTCAAAACGCCCGAGAATTTTTATGGCATTGGGCGTGAGCGGTAATCCATCGCTGCCGCATGATTCAATGGAGTGAAGGGAAGCCGTAAACGTTGACGCTCCCAAGGCTGCGTCGTCTAAACTTGTACTCCTCCGCACAAAACTGACCATAATACCTTCAAATTCACGCGAAGGAAATGCAGCATTACATCACTATCACAAGAGAAGCCCCCGAACAAAACATGTAGAAAAGAAGGCACTCGGACAAATGTTTCTGCGGAAATCACTCAAGGTACCAAAGCTGAACTCAGCTACCGAATCCCCCTTGGCCGATAAATGGTTTTAAAAATGCGGTTATTCAACCTATGCAAATGCAGTAACGGAACCCTACAGGGATACTTCACTTTATATCCAACTCCGGAATAATGCCTGACGAGTTAAAGCGTACTTTGACTCACTTCCGGAAGTTGTATTCACGCCCACATAAGAGCAATGAACCGAATCAAGGACAGAGATGCCCTTGGGGGACAGCCCGAGGCATTCGACTTAAGGAATACTGTTCGGAACGTTTGCGCACAAGGGCAAGAGAGATTCAGTTTGTTCCCGGGCAACAACGAGTGCACTTACAATCACATCTTGCTTCGAGTGAGTGAATATTTCGCGGAAGTGTTCGTTTCGCGTTTGCTCGTCACGGCACATACGCGTCAGTCATCCGTTCTCGGTGCCTCGCGACTACAACAGTTCGCAGTTGCGAGATCAGGTGCGTGCAGTAATGAAACGGACAGGTTCGAAAATCTCAAAATCGCGCGACATCTATCAGAGGACTTTCATCCTCATGATTCACGCACCAACCGGAAGTCCAGGATCCCCGTTTGACCATCTGCCACAATTTTGCCAGCAGTAGGTTTTCTAAACAAAATATAACTGTGTCCGAGTGATACTGTCCAGGATGATTCGCTTTAATGGCGGGAACTTATCACCCATCTTTTTTCAGGTTACGCATGAGTCCAACAGTGAGAAAATTAATCAATATTATGTCCATACATCATCCTTGCTGCTGACAAATATATACTGTACTGTATAAACTATACTGTATAAAGCTTCTATAGAAGCTTTATTAGGTTCATGATTATAAAGTTGAGGTATTGTATATCAACTTTATAATCATGAAGGACTTCTGACTATTTTTCTGGAGTAATATAATAAAACTATAACATTTGATATGCTTTCCAATAGGAAGTTAGTGAGTTTATGGGCAAATGTAACTTTACCTGCAAGTTCAGCATCTTGATGCAGCATATACTGTACTATATTTATTTATCCAATACGCAGTTTGAAGCCCAGAATATGATTTTTCAATTTTATGATCCTATACTGTGGATTAACTGCTGGAAAATATTTTTTTACTTATTTCTACCAGAGAGACTCATGGTTTCCCGAACATGAAAACTTGATCCTCAAGAAGTCAAACTATTGTTTGCTGTGGGTCATCCCGTGAATATGACCAATATGTTTTACTGCTGCATGTAATAGATATACACCTTAATATCTTTGAGACGTCTCTCTGCAGAAATTTCTTCTAAAAAAAAAACTTCTTTGTGGAACAAATTTTTCTTGTCCCTAGAATAGGGCTCTTATTTCTTCTATATACCCATATTATAGGAGCTCTTGTCTGCAGTGGAATTCTCTCTGTACAAACTATTATGCAATAAACTTTTTCTGACCCTTGGGATTTTTTTCCAGAGAGAGTTCACCTGCGTTGGATGTATTCAGCATTGTATTTACAGTACCGGTAAACGTGTATATCATATACAGTACTATGCTCCAAATTTGCTTTTTATCAGTTAACTATGAAACTCCTGCTGTAGCGCATTTTCCCAATATACAATACCTGTACGCAGCAGAGAAAACTTGAATAAAAATTCTTCTTTTAAAAAAGGTCTCTTACATATTTATCAAATAACCTCTTTTACTTGTACTGTATGTACGCATATACAAACGTAATAATTTCATGAAAATATAATATAATTTCATATTACTGTTGACTGTCGATCTGTATATGATGTTAGCAATTTTTCTTTTCCAGTCAGCCTTCCATATATACAGTAAATGAGCCCAGGTCACCCATCATCACTTCGCACAAAACTTGTGAACATATGCTCATCAATTGACCAATTAAAATAACCTTCACCAAATTTATGTCAAATTATTCAAGCAGCAAAATTTAGGAAAGAATCCTTACAGCATTGGAAATTTCTCTCTCGATCGGCAGTTTGAATATTAACATGGCTGATGAACTTCTAGAGGCTCGCGTTGAATTATTTGAGTGAGTCATTTAAAAAAAGGGGCTCTCATCCTCAGCATGCTGCTTTGAGATCATCCTCGCGTGTATTCCTGAAGTGCTGTATATACCATTCAATTGAAATATTTATCCAGGAAAGAACTACAAGAAGATCCATCACCAGGCGAAAAATCCTTAGATGATGGACTTTTTGAAACCAGTGAAGGGAATGAAAATGATTCAATTATCGATGAACTGGATGCGGGAGACGCCAAACCCTGTACTTCCACGAATGAGGCCAGCAGACGAGTCACCATTTCTATCCAGGAAACAGATGATGGAGATCTTACATCTGACGTTAGTTCTCAGAAAATAATCAGCTATACATATTAGCAATTTCGAAACTGTACTCTTCTATGGACGCAGAGGAATTTAGAGCATCATGCACCAAAAAATGCAGCAATTTCAAAAGAAGCGGTGGAAAAAGCATTGGGAGACGTTTCGCACTCCATGTTTCAGTCCTTCACACAGAGAAAATTCGGGAGCATCGCCGACCAAACACGATCATTTTCACAGGCAAAACTCAGACGCAGCAGTAAACCCAGACCAGTTCAGACGAGGAACCAGCTTTTATCTGAGTGCTCATCCCAAGAAAAAGTTGTCAGATACGAGAAGATCATGCAGGAACTGGCCATCAGTCTCCTAGGCGAAGAACACGCAGGAGACCCCATTGTTAGAATAGCAGCAGATGTCGCCTCTGCTGCAGTCAGTCCCGCGAATGATCCGGAGAAGCAGCATAAATCTGAAAAATGTGTAGGGCTCGAGCTGATCACAACAAACTATGATAGAGGGAATCTGACTTCCCTATTGTCAGAAGTTCAAGTGAATTAACCCCGTCTCTTTTCTAGGAGCTTTCAGTGATGAGCTTCGAGCTTCCTACTTCAGACTCCGAACGACCACCCCAAAATTCTTCACATAACGTAGTGCAAGATTCCGCGTCGTCATCCGGCGTTCACGGGCGACTGCGGTCATCCGAAATTCGCGACTGCGTTTCCCTAAATTCTATGTCGTCTCATCGGACCATTTGCTGCAATGCAGCCACTTCAATACACACTTCATCTTTGGATTCTACCGCTGGTTCGCAAGTGGATTTTTCTGCGTTTGTGGACCCAGTTTGGGTTGAAGCTATCGCGCCTGAAAGCCGTGCCCAGTTCTACCAGTCCATGTTGTCCGCATCGGCGGCTAATGATGGTGACTCAGCAAGTCTTCAGGTTTTTTTTTTTCTATAGACCGCTCAAAAATTTGCTACTATATGTACTGTACCTTACAACAAGTTGAGTACCGTTGAAATCGTGTCACACCGAAGTTCCCCGGACCATGTAAACGTTAGATAATCGAAAATATGGAAAAATATTTTAAGGTACAGTATTCACGCAAATTCAGATTTTTTGGAGTTTGTCGAGCCGCTAGAGAATTTTTTTATATGTACAGTATGTGCTATTTCACTACATACAGGTTAAATCGTGTTTAAACAAATTTCCTCGGACCATAAAATTCATTTAAAATTGGATAAAACGAGATTGCCATGCACAAACTATAATTTTTTCTTATTACTGTACTGTATATTGATTTCCTCAAATTTGAGGTTTTTTTTTTACGCATCACGGCTTCTTCAAGCAACTTGAAATATTTCCATCAGCAGAATATCCGTACGTCAAATAAAAATCCTTTGAGGTTATTACTGCAAACATCTACAATTCTACAGTATCAAAATATTATTTTTTTCATCTTACCGTCAGCGCTATAAATTTCAATAAAAACTTAATCCCTTCAAGAATTCAAGCGCAGGAATAAGACGAAAATGACAAAATTCTCATTAGGAGAAAATCTTAAAATACTGGTAATTTACTGGATCCCTTGAAAATACTGGATCCCTTCCAAAATGTCCGTTATATACTTACGGTACATGATTATTAACATTTCACCTTTATTACGAGTGAAAAGTAGGTGTTCAATTATTGTATCACCGACCAGGACAAATCGTGTCGAACAACAAGCAGTGTTGATGCCTGTGTAAGTAACAATTGGTCTGCTGCAGCAACAGCAACTTCAAGAAAATCGTACAATGAAGTCACTGAAGAATCTCTAGGAATGTCTGCAATTTTACCTGAACTCGGACAGAAAGTTAAAAACGCTTGCAACGGAAAAACTCCGAACCAAAGTTTGCTTCTTCTCGTTGATGCGATTTTCTCATCACAACAAAAGGTGAATTATTTTCGAAAATTATTATTTTTTAATTGATTTCTTCGAAGATTTTGTTTTGCCAATTTTCACGTTTTGTTCTCGATACATCACCATAATTATACAGTATTTCGAAGTGCTCTCGCTGGAGATTTTTCGGACACGCAGATTTGAGTGCTAAATAATATTACTGTATATTCCCTGGTTAATTAGAGCATTTGTCCATAATGGTCTCATTTTTTTTTCAGTTACGGGTGAAATGTTTTGGATCAAACTCCCTTTTATTATCAACAATCCATATTCACGAAGGTTTTTTAAAAGCTCCAGGAGGAACACCATTGGAATTTTTCCATAAAATCTTATGAAATTCTCATCAACAAATTAATTTTGAATAGCTTTTTGACCTCACTAAAACTACCAGGAGTCATAAATGTTTCTCTCATTTCCTTCTACTTTTAAGGAGGTAGACATTCTGAATCAACATTTGCTATTCTCAGCAGTTTAAAAAACTGTTACTTTAAATATAATTGCATATTCAATATCTATAAGAAGGCCTTTTATGGATTTTCTTTCAATTGTAACTTTTTTTCCTTTTGTGCAATAATTTTCTTAACGATTGTGCAGGGAAAGTTTGATATGCTTTAAAACTTGGTAAAGACACATCAGATATCAAGAAATTAATAATAATTATAATATTAATTATAATTTCAAAACCGATCATAATTTTCAGAGTAGAAATCTCATTTCTACTACTGTATTTCTTCACAATTTTTTAGGTTTCCCGGATGTTTTTAAAACAAATATCCACGTTATTCATGGAACAACTTCAAACAATAACTTATTTCTCATTTCCTTCGCCTCAGTATAATTTGTTCGAAATGTTTTATATGAATTCCATTTATCTTGGCTCTTGGCTGTGCAAGCTATAGTTTTTTTTTTTTTTTTTGTGGAGACATCGAAGTGATGAAGTAAAAGTTTATTTAAAAAAAATCTTTAAAATTCTCGTGTTTCTCTTTTGAATGATATTCCCTTTGCAAGTGGATGAAGACAATCCTTCATTTTGTGGAACAACAACTGAGCTCATCATCATCAGGAAGTGGGTTGCAAAGCCAGACAAGAACTCCCACTAATAATATCAGCAGAGAAACCACATTCTCAGTCAAACAAACGCCACTAAAATCAGCAGCCGAGGAACGATTCAGTTCAAACATCAGTTCTGACTGCATCAACGAAATCTACTGCGTCGCTGACAAACAAAAGGGCAAATCAGACGCCAAACAACTACAACATGAGCCAAAATCATCAGGAATACTTCTCTCAGTGGCATCCAGCCATAAAAAGGACGATGAACATCAATCGTCCATCATCAAGCCCAGTGTCTCACCGTCAAGCTCTTATTCCAGCAACTCGTACGACTTGATGAGTGCTGGGAACCAAGAGTCCTTGGCTAAATTAGCTGCCCTGTGCGAAGAAGTTCTCGCATCGAATGCGAATTTCGCCAACAAGAGACCCAAGTCCGAAGCCAGTTCCGGCGGGAAGATCGGCAAACAACAGTCCAGACATCGACCTAATAATAATAATAAACAGCAGCAAAGGAAGGACCTGGTGTCGATGCATTCTTCATCTCTGACCTGGGGAAAGTCGTCGACTGTGAGAGTGAGGCCATCGTCGGTAATGATGGAACATCACGGTCAGAATTCAGGACCAGCAGCAGCGAATCCGTTTTTCTCGTCTTGGGATAATCATTACCATAATAATAATAATAATCCTCATCATCATCGTCAGCAGCAGCAGCAGCAGAACTGCGTGCCATCGATTGATTGCTCGCGAAGCCCTTACTGTCCTCCATTTTGCTGCCAATCTGAGCTGACCAATTGGCACTGTTGCTCCTCCTCTTTCCCTCAACACCAGTCGATGCAATCGTGTTGCGGGAATTTTCATTTCGTCAATAATTTTCCGGGTCCCGCAGTCGCTGTTCAACGTCCGCTGACCTGCTTTCAAGCAATATCGCGAAAGCCGTTTTCCTGGTGATTAAACACAATCTATCAAAGAAATGCTTTTATCATTGGAAATCCGATTTACGGTATTTACTCGAGTACCACGTGCACCTTTTTTCCCAAATTTCAGAAGAAGAAAAAAGGGGTGCGCATCATAAGCGGGTAAAAAATTTTCAAGAAGTTTTAGGAAGTTATGTTAGCATTATACTTAATTATAATGGAGAAATTTGGAACAAATATAAGAAGAAAATATTTTTGTATTGAAAAAGTTGAAAATTCATCAGATTGTTGTTCAATTCACGCCAAAAGTCACATTTTTTGTTTTTATTTTTGAAATTTTATGGTTTTAGAGTCACTAAAAATTGGGGTGCGTGTCTTATTTGGGGATAAGATTTTTGCAAAATTTTCAACTGAAAAACCCCTGTGCGCACCTTACTCAAGGGTGCGTGGTACTCAAGTAAATACGGTATACAACTTTTTAGTTTTAAATTGGTACAGTCCAACCTCTCTAAGTCAAACTTCAAGGGGCCAGCAAAAAAAGTTGACTTAGGGAGGTTTTGAATTAGCTATACAATAAAAAGCCCTTTTGTTCTGGGAAACATAGAAAAATTGCTCAAAATTGTAAATTGTAATATTTGAAGGCTGAAATTACTTCTTAAATGAGTTGAAAGCATTCATGAACTTGGAGGCAGAGTTCATTTGCCCAATTAAGTCTCTCACCTCCTTTTAAAACAAATACATCCATGTTTTTATTGCTTTTTTTCTTGCTTGGGTCAAGAAAATAAAAGTCAACAGGCCACAGAAAATTCAACTTGTGGAGGTTTGAGGGGAAAAGCCTTTGACTTAGGGAGGTTTTAAACATATCAATTCTAAAGGGGTTCAGACAGGACCTGAAAAAAAATTCAACTTAAGGGGGTATTTGACTTAGGGAGGTTTGAGTTATTGGTTTGCCTGTAAATACTATTAGGGTCATCAGCAAGAGATCCCTATAAATGCCAGAGATGAGCTTATTTATGATGCCAAAAAATCCCCCACAGGTTTATCAACGCGTGAATGGGACCTTGAAGGGTTTTCTGAAACAGTCCATTATACTGTACTGTATAATGAAAATTTTGAGTTATTTATTTGGATTGAAATTTAACGTTGGAAAGATGAACATTTTTGTGAAAGGTCTGATAAAGAATGGTGTTCTAAAATTTGTGGGGGGGGAAATACTATCCATCAGTCTTTCCTTGCATCTGTTTTCCCTTGAAGGACGAGAAAAAACCAAAAGGATTTGATTTGAATCTCAGAAAAATAATGACTTCATCATGGGATGATAGATAAAAATTTTTCTGGTTTGGACAAAATTCCTTCTTTTTTTTAGCTTAACTGATCGTATCATTCAACTTTTTTTTCTTTTCAGTTCACACCTGCAAAATGTCCATAGGGACTCATTCATAAACACAAATAGGGCAAAGATGGACAAAATTAGACAGCGACAAAATTTCAAGAAGCCCAGCAAAAGTGGCAGTCAGGACACTTCGATGAGGAATCAGATAACTTTGTTGCACCAACGACTGAGTGACGTGGAAGCTTATTTCCTGAAAGTTACTCAAGCTTCCGGTTCCTGAAAAAGTTCTTCCTTTTTTTCTTTTCGTACCAAATAATAAAGATGCCTATAATATGGGGATTTTTTGACTGCCGAGGCCGAAATACGATTGTCCGTATGCATATCCTTCAATAAAATATTTGAACCATTCGTTTTCTTTTTTTCCAGAGGTTTCTTTTTTTTCCAATTGAAGTGGTCAAATATGAACAAGTGTGTTATGTTTCAAGGTTTGGTTTCAGTTCTGCTCCTGGCACTTGTCAACTCGCAAGGTAAGTTTTATTTTGCGTAATTCCCGAGAATTAAAATGCAGCATTATTGAGAGATTTTATTTATGGCGAATTTGTGTGGAAATATTTCAATATGCTGAATAATATAGATACGATTTCATTTTAATTTCTACTCAAATATTGTAAATGAAGTTCTTTGGTTTCTCAGTTTTTGCAATGAGAGGAACAGGAGGGCTTGATTTGATTATAACTGGCTTTTCAAGAAAATTGAATTTTGTGTGATTTTTAAATAAATTCCCTTCTTCAAAACAGATTTTATCAAGGCGTTTGGACTTTTAGTCATAATATTGAGACTACAATATGAACAAATTTTCCTAAAGCCCTTGTTATTTAATGTTCTGCCACACTTGGTTGTGCCTGGTGCACAATAAGTCATTATTTTGGCATTCCATTGCCGGTCTGAATTATTATCTACCTCATTCCCATTCCTTTCTTTTTGCTGCACAACAAAGTATGATGGCCAACCCAAATTGGTTGCTATGGGTGTTTCTCAACTACCTTGGCCAAGGAAAGTTATAAATACAGGCATTTGTTCATGTGTGGTAAGCTCATTACATTTGGACTCTGCTGCATTACCTTGTTATTTGTCTCTCTGCTCAATGCACTGTATTCTATCCTGATATCTGTTTGAAGTTGTATGAATACATGGGTTCTAACAAAAGTTCTTGGAATAGAAATTAAAATGGCGCATAATCAAGCTGACAAATTTTATTTTTTAGGGAAAACATATTCTTTGGCACACAGAAAATCAGCCCTGTTTAACAATTTTTTTGAATGTTTTGCGAAATTCAACCTTGCAGAGTTTTGCTCTCCACTCAAAAGATGAGGCGCCCTTCCTGTGTATTTTTGTTGTTGTAGCCAGCTTTCCCCTCTGAATTCTTGAAATCAACATGGCATTAATTCCAAGGGTTGCCTCCATGTCTTCCAAGGTAATTCCGCCATTTTCATTGTGAATATTCAGCAGGTTTGTTGGTGAATTTTCAACAGGTTCTTTGGTGAATTTTCAATAGGGTGAATTTTGCAAAACATTCAAAAAAATTGTCAAACAGGGCTGCTTTTTTTGTGTGCCAAAGAATATGTTTTCCCCAGAGAATCATTTTTTTCAGCTTGATTATGCGCCATTTTAATTTCTATTCCAAGAACTTTTGGTAGAACCCTTGTAAGAGCACATTGAATGCTCTCATGGAGTAACTTCTGTATTTCCTGTGGAATTTGGGTAAAAGTCTTCAAATCTCTGAGCCCTTTGTCAACAACAAATCAATAAATTTATACACCATTCAGAGTCATCTGATCAACAATTAAAATAAATTGATTCTTTGATTTAAGACAACAACTTTCAATAATGTTCTGCATTATGGCATTATGTGTGCTTTGTACATTTTGAACTTACAGAATATGCAAACACTCCTTTTTTGAACCTTGTGTTCCTTATATTTGAATAATAATTCTTGAAATTTTAATTTTTGGCAGAATTCATTCAAGTGAGTCCTGTCATCAGCGATGAGTGCATTGGGTGCATTTGCGAAGGTTCCACTTCGTGTGACCTTTCGGTCAAGTGTACGGGAGGCGGTTATTTGTGTGGCCCACTTTTGATTTCCCGGGCTTATTGGACTGATGGAGGACAACCCGTGCTCAAGGGGAACAACAAGAATCAAAACGGAGGTATGTTTAATTTATTTACATTATTGCCAATCGATTCATGATGTACTCCGAGAAGGAAATACTTAATTTTCTTTCAAACATTCGAGAAAAACGCATGAATCAGAACGGAGGCATTATAATCATTTCTTTCCATATTCGATTTATTCCTGATGCTGTATATGGAAAATATATTGTTTTTTTTTTCAACCTTCGATTCAGATTTCCGAACTTATCTAATGTATTGAAGCATGTACTAACACTACATGTATATAGCAATATTATAAAGACTTTTGCCTTCGTGATGGCGCGAAAACGTTTCAACAAGGAGATGCGAAAGTTCACGCCTCGATCGAGCATTGCGATGAACGAGGTTTTATTGAAATTGAAAATATTTCATGCAAATGATCGATTTTCCGAGTGAAATTTAAATTTTCTCAGATTCCATCAGATGAGGCTTGGACGATGTCCTTGTTCGCGCGTGTACAAATAGAGGACAATCTTTCAGTGAAAATTTAATTTGAAATTATTTGTACCCTTAACTTTTTAAAAGAGGATAAGTGTGGAATCAATTTGAATCTTTATTTTTCAAACTTTGGAAAATAAGAAAAGTGAGCATTGATATCAATTTTCCAAGTAGATTTTTTCGAATGATCGAAAATTTTCAAGAAACGTTTATTGAAGACTTCGTGGAACAAATATACAGTATTATTAAATTTTAAAATAAAATAACGGAAGCTTCGAGTTTAACCTTGTGTTTCTTGGAAAAATAAATCTCACAGCCAGTATCTTTATATTTTTGGACTCCGTCCCTAAAGATGGACGCGGGAAATACTGTATACAGTATATTTCAAATTTGATTTTTCGTTGAAATATTTTCTTAATAATAAATTGAAAAATCTTCCGGTACGCCCGAACGATTTTTAAAATCTGGACACTTATCTAATGTTGGCTCGTTATGTGATGTTGGAAACGCCTAATATATGTTACACGTTTTTTTAATGATTTTCAAATCACCAAGTTCATCATTCGAAATTTTTGCAGGATGTTTTTTTTTTTGTGAATCTCTTCCCCTAAAGCGATAAATTCTCGTTTTTTTTATTCCTTTCGCGCATATTGTACTTAACTACGGTTTTTTACGATCAAGAAAATTTCTTCAGATTCTCCTGCAACTTTTTTTTCATTTATTTACGCACTTCATAAAGCATAATTTGTATTCAAGAATGTAATTTCAAGCTTACAGGAGATTTAGTGTAAAATTGGACTGTAATTCCGACATTATAGAGGATGGATTGTACTGGAGCAGTGTTCCCCAACCCATGGTCGATGTCCTTGTTCGCGCGTGTTAATATCTTTCAGTGAAAATTTTATTTGAAATTATTTGTACCCTTAACTTTTTAAAAGAGGATAAAAGAGGATAAGGATTTGAAAGAGGATAAACCGTCTGCGGACCAGCGCCGGTCCACGGAAGGTTTTTGCCGGTCCGCGGGAAATTTCTCCAGGCTAATGAATTTTTCACGAGAAGGAATGAAGGACGTTGCAGTATCTTTATTTTTAATTTTTGCAAGACAATGGCAGTTAAATTTTTCTCGTGAAAAATGTATCTTGGCTTTTTTTCTTTAATACTTCGGACAAACTTTTACCTGATTTAATAAATTGTTTTAATTTTTGATTCTGATAAACCTTTCGTCAGGCGCACCTTTCGATTTTTTTTGAAGACATTCCATTTTATAGCTGCTTCATTGGTTCCTGAATTAATTTTGTAAAAAAAAAAACAGGAGCTTTTCAAATAATACCTGCCATCCAAGCTGTTTTTCAAGCAACATTTTGAGCATGCAAAATTTTTTCTGTTCCTCAGAAAATTTAATTAAATTTTTCCGGTCCTCAGAAATCTTTTTGGAATTTTTTTGCCGGTCCAAAGGACCAAAAAGGTTGGGGAACACTGTACTGGAGTGCAGTAATTGTGCTCTTCGGGGTCAGAGTGTTCATCAATAAAACTCAATAGCATCTCTATATACGGAAGATAAAAAACCCGGAAGAGAAGTCATCCTCAGCATTTCCGGGGTGTCTTCTATCGTTCGTTTACCATCTGTTCAATTCTTTTCCTGTTCGTTTGTGTTTTTCATTTGACACAGCTTTTGAGAATTGCGTGCAGGATCCTTACTGTGCTGCTCAAACCATGCGGGGCTACATGAGTAAATTCAAGCAAGACTGCAACGGCGATGGGAAAATCGATTGCGTCGATTTTGCCATGATTCACAAAAGCGGAGGATATTCTTGCAGCACTCCCATCCAGGAAACGGAATATTTCAAGAAATTCTTGTCGTGCAAGAACCTGCTGAACCTTGACTGATGATGAGACGATCAACAGTTTTGACTGAAAGGATCGATCGAGATATAATTATATAGGATCTGATCACGAGACAATGGGAGATCTGATTTCTGCTGCGCGTCGTCCAATTGTTTTTCTTCACACACGGGAATCAATGCAAAATAATTTTAGTTATATGTAAGACGCCTTGGGAAGAATTTTCCGTGATTTTGTCTATTTAGTTCTCAACAATGCTCTGTTTTAAATTTTAATCATATACCGTAGAATGTCATTAAAAAAATTCATAACAAATTATTTTCCCTGAAGTAAAATTCAAATAGGGTCAAATTGTGAAGAAGTTGAATTGTGAGACAACATCAAATGTCATGTTTTCTACATGAAATTTGATACTTCATGTCTCTCCACAGGTTGACTTGCAAGGCAGAGGTCAAATTGAGAGTTGACCTCCCATTAAATTTGACTGTCAAATTGTGGGATGGTTGAATTGAGGAGGGTTGAATTGCAAGGTACCACCTGTATATAGCGTCAAGGTTATTACAATCTCAATGCAAAAAATTGTAAAAACAAAGAATTTTCCAGGCTCCATAAATGATATTGATTTGACAAGAAGATTCTGACATAGTTCCATCCAAACATATACAACAAAAGGTTTGGATGACTATTTTTTTAGAATTATGTTACTGTGAGGCTTCATGGGATATTTTAAAAGATTACTTTTTGGGGTTCAGGCATTATTAGGATGCAGTACTGGATTATTATTTTTTTCTGTGTTTCTCAATAATAGCATGATATATTTTCGGGGTTACATTCATATGTACTGTATTTCTAAAAGGAGACCTGGTCCAGACCTTCAGTTTCAATGATTTGTTCATCTACTATGCGCAAGTACCACACCCAATTTTTTTTTTAATGAATCCAGGCAGAAAAAAAGGTGTGTGGTATGCAGGTTTCCGTTTTTTTTTTTTAGAAAAAAAATCATTACACCAGTGCAAGCCATATGCAAATAATTGTAGACAGCAAAAAATGAAAAGGGATTGTTTTCAAGTCTCCTATACTGGTACAATGATTTATGTTATTTTATTTAATTGCAAGCTGATTTTTATCTGAATTATTTTGATTTACCATCAGTGCAGTACTTTCCTGTTATCTCTGTACCTCATTTCTAGACCGCACTACCATCCAGACAAATCTTTAGGACAAGTTCATAATCACAACAACCTACCAGAAACTTAAACCCAAAGAAAGCAGAAACTGATTTTGGGAGGCAGTTAGGTGAAGTTAGGTTAGGTTAGGTCAGGTTAATTTGGTCAGAGGGAAGGTACAGAGATAACAGGGAAGTACCTACAGTTCTAAGACACCATTGCCTTTCTAGTCAATGAAAACTGAGTCTTCTGCAAGAATAGGCTTTCAGGCTAATTTCAGGCATGAAAATCGATTTGTAGGCATCTGATACTCCTTGGTGTGTAATACTCGAGTAAACACAATAATCAAAAACATGTTGCATTTTGAATTGATTCCTGTGAAGAATTGGAAAATTGGACCTTGCGGAGAAATCAGACGCATCTCATGGATGAATCACGCATTTCGAAAAAAAAACTGGAGGGCTTCACGTGGAAACTGTTTACTGCCTTTTGAATATAAATTTTAACTTCAAACGTAGTCATTCTTCATTTCATTAACAACACATGATGACCTTGAATGAGGTGTTCCGAAGGCGTGTTAATATTCAACAACAAAAACACGCGTATATTTCTTTCAAGAATTTCCCGATGATCATCTGTGTAGTCTTCCCATGAAGAGATGATGATGATGAAGCTCCAGTTGATACTTCTTTGTGGCTTATTGACATTGCTTGTATGCAAACTGACTTCAGGTAAGTCAAATTCGCCATTGAATTGTGCTCCTTTCAATTTGTGAGTCAGTTGATTGAATCAAAAAAAATGTTTTCATTCAAGGACAAACGCCGTCCGTCATCAGTGATTCTTGCTTGGCATGCCTTTGTGAAGGAAGCACTGGGTGCAACTCCCAAGTGGGTTGCAGGGATGGGCTCTGTGGACCTTTCGCCATTTCCTCGCCATATTGGGTAGATGCCGGTAGTCCTTCAGGAAGTGAGTTTTTTTTTCTGTGTGTGGAACATGTAATCAGAATGACGTTTTATGCCAAAAATGAATAAAATTTGTATTTGCAGATTTTGACATGTGTGTCAATGAGCCATTTTGTGCTGCTGAAACTGTGAGACTGTACATGAACAAATTTGCGCAGGTGAGCCAAACTTAATTCCGGCTGTGACATGATTGATTTTCAGATTTGACCCACAAAAAAAAGCATTTAGCAATCGAAATTTGTTTTCTTCCAAATATACCAATTGTAGGCAGTTTTGCAGTACTTCCGTTTTTATGTCAGTTGAAATAAGCAGCAGATTTAAAATCCAATTTCGTTCATTTTATTTTCTACGTATTTATCTCGTCTTGATGATTGAGGATTTTTATACCATATTCTGAACAAGAGATTAAGTACCACTGAAAGCTTTTGTCAAACTTTAGACCTTCATCAATTTGAATGAGTAAATACGTCGAAATCTTGTTGCAACAAATTTCGATTTCAGAAATTCCTGCTCGCAGCAATTTTTATTGTCGTTCATGAAATCATGCCCAATTTTTCTCAATTTTTGGCAAGGTACATAATATTTTTCATAACAAAGATTCTTCCAGGTCCCGAAGGCCTTTGTTGCAAACTTGCGATGAGATTTAATTTGATTTATGCGTGGCTTTTACCGGTATTTCTGCCTATCCACATTATTGATTCAGCATTTAAAACGTTTATTCTCTCGTAATCAATCATTTTCATGAATTACTGAAGGAAGTCGCGGTGAAGCAATATTACTCAAAGTATTTTAATAATAAAACGAGGCGCACATGTCAAAAAAGTATGGCGTGACAGACGATGTAGGAAGTAACCAATAAGTTCACACCAGCGACTTTTTCTCACACTTTCCCACGAATTTCCGCGTTCTGAGAACGTTTGATCTATTATATTCAACGCGGGCGATCCTTGCAAAGAAATAACTTCCCTGCAGTAAAAAGAAGATAAATGCGAAGAAAATGGTTCTGAAGCGAAGGAACAAAAACTGAACTTGAACTTGATTTCATGGCCAAACAGCGGTGATTTGCTTCCGCAGTGTTTCCCCTGCAGCAATAAAGCAATCTGGACACCCTCTTGGTGCTGCTGCCGTATGCGGCGGACCAGTAAAATAACTCATACACATACTACCGAGAGGGGGGAGTACTAACTGCTGGCGGGGTGAAAAATTCCTGTCTTATTTTTCTTTAGCTCTTTACTGTATACAGTGAGACCCCCACATACGGACACCTCATCCTGCGGACAATTCAACATAGGGACACTTATTTTACCATAAAAAATTAATAAAAATGGCACAACATGAGGACACTGACTTGACATAGGGACATTTTGTGATAAAATTGCAAACACATTTCAGGCCAAATTACAAGAAACAGATATTTTCAACCCTAAAATTGATGTAAGA